ATGGATGCAACCGGAAAAGCGGCCGCATTCCTAGTGCCTATACGCTTGGCATCGACATTTTCCAGCAAAAGGGTCACGTCATCGGGGATATTGTAATCATGACGAAACATAGCCATGGCCTCAGAAGTATCAACTAATGAGAGAAACTTTCCCATCAAACCGAACCTAGTGGTACAGGGGTAGAACTCAGATACCAAGATATGGAACACAACAGCGCGAGGGCCAGACAAGATGATTGAAACAGAAAAAGACAAGAGAAGAAGGATCACAAGAGAACTTACAGAGATCAGAGCAGCGATAGCGGACGAGCGGCGCTAAAGCAAGACTGGCAATGGAAAGTCTAAGCAGAGCACCAACGAGACTGGTTCAGAGCAATGGAAAGGGTTTTTTTTTTTTTTTCTTTGAAACTCTCCAAAAGAATGAAAAAGCAGATAAAGGGATTTGGATTGATAGCCCAGAGCATTTATTGCACCAGTCACACGTGAAGGTACACGAAGCACGACCTTCGGTATAGAATGAACGCACTATCTCTACACGCCTATCCCATGTCGCCACGTGTCACAACGAAAGGACGCAAGCAGGGGTTGTGTGTCAGGATTGAACCGTCACCAAGGCCGAACTGAAGCAGAACCGAAGCGACGCAACGCTTGGACAGCAGAACAATAGCTCTCCCCAAGGGGAACCTTAGCGCGAGCTAGGGAGCAAATGAAGGGGCTGAATATGAAATGGGTCGGATCCAAGCCTTGGGCCGGCCCAATCCACTAAAGCCCAAATCCAAGTGGGTTAGATGAATATATAGGCAAGCCAATTGAGCCCAACTCCATGATCAACAGTCTACCCAAGTCCTCAAGCACTTGGGCCCAACACGCAGTGGAAAGGCTAGTCTAGTCGCGATGTTGGGCTGGGCCGAGCTGCAAGACCTAATCTATAGGGCAAACTAAAGTGGGCTGAGCCCATACAAAGATATCCGAATGGACCAGCCCATCTCTATAAACGATCTTGTAAAAGACTAAGCCGAGGCACAGCAGTACCGAGCTGAGAAAACCCCTTAGAGAAACGTAGAAGCTATGAATACATGCACATGGAGGATGCCACCTCAGCTGGTCCCTTCCCCCTAGAATCACAGAAACAGTTAAAACCAAAGGAATGTGGTTTGTTGTCAACATGACTACAATGAGTATAACCACCTTTTGACAACTACCAGATGGTCCCCCATGGAGAGCCATGCTAAAAGGAAACCTAGCAGCACCAAAGCTCCATGAAACCATCTTGAGAAACAAGCAAGGAACCCTATATATACTAAATGAACTTCACTTTGCAGGTAATTGAACTGATCCAAGCTAAACCCCACTTACTTACAAACTCAACTCTCTACACTTTTTCTCCGATCACTGATTCCCACACCAGAGGGGTTATCCGGCCAACCCCAGTCGGGCAGCTCTTACGGTGCTTCTTATGATAGGAATCTCAATCCTTGGATAGTCCAACTGAGCGTGGAGCCCTGATCCACTTTCATCTAGTGTGATATTCGGTACGCACAGTAAGGTAGGTACTAACCAACATTGGTTAGGACACAAAGGTTGGCTTGTTAGAGAGGAAGGTAAGAAAATGATTCATGTAGTCGACTCCAATTGATTGGGACACAAGAATTGGTTGGTTTGATTTTGTACTGCCCTTGGACTACTTCAAGATGAGTAGCTAGGTTGTTGTATTAAGGAAAAGGAAACTTGATTATATCCATTGTCTATGGTTCAGAGTTCCATTTTTTGTAGCTTATCTTTTTTCTTTTCATGATCAACTTTAAAAATCAACCATTCTCACAGTTGGTAAAATGTTGGTTTTCAATTACATGGACCTTGTGGATGTGGTATTCACATAATCAAAACAATGGTTGCCTTCTTCAAAAGGGTTTAGGCCTAGTGAGCAATTCATGATTATCGTAACTGGGTATGGAAATATCAATTTTCCCTAAGTGGAAGTGCTTCTCCAAGGTTAAGGGTCTTTATTCAAAGTATGATCATCTTCGTGTGGAAGTTTATACAAATGTTGACTGGCTGGGTCAGTAACTCATAAGAGATCGACTTCAGGGTATTGCACCTTTGTTGGAGACAACCTAGTTACTTGGAAGAGTAAGAAACAGAATACAGTTGCCAGGTCAAGTGCAGAAACTGAGTTTAGAGTTATGGCACAAAAGGTGTGTGAGCTCTTATGGATCAAGTTATTATTGAGTGATCTAGGTATTGATCATACGGACTCCATAAGGTTATACTGTGATGATAAGGCCGCTACCAATATTGTTCACAATCCGGTTCAATATGACAGGATAAAGCATATTAAGATTGATCGCCACTTCATTAAAGAGAAACTCACTAGTAGCACAAAATGTACTCCCTTTGTGCGGTCTGATGAACAACATGCTGACATCCTTACCAAGGGAGTTGGGAGTAAGTCATTTCATGACACCTTAGACAAGTGGGGCATGAGAGATATTTTTGCACCAGCTTGAGGGGGAGTATTAAAATAATATATTATTTTGGTTATTATTTTGTAATCATTCTCTGCCTTAGGGCTCCTCTTATAATTATTAACTTCATTAATATAAATAGAGAGTGATATCCTAATCATTCTCTAATCTTGAAATTCTCTTAAAAAAACATATTTGTGAAGGAATACATGCCTTTCATAGTAGTTAATTCCTTATTTACCACTGGATATGTGGATTTCTACACGTTGTATGTTAAAATGTATCTCCTAACTTTTGATTTTGGTAGGTAATGTTAATAAAAGTGTTTGACATAAAAAACACACACAAAAGAATTAAGATTTTTTTATTTTTTGTAAGGGACTAATTGGTAACAAGAGGATTTTTAGAGTGAGACAGATAGAGAGAGTTACCGGTATTGAGATCTTGGAGATTGGAATCCAAAGTTTGAAAATATATATATATATTAATGAAATATAAATCTAGAGATTTTTTTTTTATAACTAATAAATTTAAATAAAAAAAATAATGTATGTTATTATAGTTTAAATCAAAATATAAGTCCCCATTTGTAAATTTTTTTATAAAAAAAAAAGGAGATCCTAAAAAAACAAAAATTAATATTCGTCCCCATCTGTCAATCTTATTTTTATGGAGATCAATAAAAAAATAAAAACAATTTTTTTTTCATAATTTTGATATAGTTATGTTGATCTTCTTTTTAGGAAAGTTAAATGATCCAAAACTTCTGAAAATATAAAAAAAAACAACCTAAAATATATATTTTAATATAAACGAGATGATAATATCATTTATTTTTGGGTGAACCACCAATAAATCTCAAAATTTGATCTTGTGAACTGTTTAGTCCTTTTTTTTTTTTTCTTATGAATTCATAAGTCCCATTAAAATGAAAATTACACAAAAAGGTAGTCACCTACATATTTGGATTTAATTTTCTAACGATAAAAATGGGTTTCTCTAAATGTAAAATTACACATTTAGGCAATTCGCATTATAAAGGTCTTGGACTTTTACTCCTAGAACAAATCTCACATTACGAAAAAAAAAAAAATGTAACACTCCAATAACATAATATTTTAATGTAACACTAACGTAACATTCAATGTAAAATACTAAAAAAATTATTGGTGCACTTTTCCCAAACGTAACAATGTAATACTCCAAAAAAATTTATTAATGTACTTTTTCCAAACGTAACACTTCAATGTAACACACAAAAAAAAGCTCCTTAGTATACTTTTTCCAAACGTAACACTCTCATCAATGTAATCCCAAACGTAACATTTAATGTAACACACAAAAATACTAAAAAATTTCTTAATGTAATTTTTTTAAACGTAACACTCAAAATTTGAAATTATACATTTGTTCAAAACTTATTAAGGAATTTTTGTACTCATTTTGAAATAGTTTGAAGAATCACACATCCTTTTGAAATAGTTTGAAGAATCCCGTATCATTTTTTTGATGTGTTACATTGGAGTGTTATGTTTAGAAAAAATACACCAAGAAATTTTTTCATATGTTATATTAGAATTTTACATTAAGAAATTTTTTCGAAATGTTATATTAGAGTGTTACGTTTAGAAAAAATACACCATTTTTTTTTAGTGTTATATTGGAGTGTTACATTTCAGTGTTATATTTGAAATTATACATTTGTCAAAAGTTTACTAAGAGATTTTTGTACTTCTTTTGAAATGTTTGAGGAATCTCACATCCTTTTGAAATGTTTGAAGGATCCAATATGTTAAGTCATTTTTGTATTCTTTTTGAAATATTTTTCAAATAAAAAAGATTCTCATATAAAAATTTATTCCAAATTTGATTCTAATAGATTGTGTACATTATTACCTTTCTAACACAAGAAAAAAAGAGAAGGAAACATAATAGAAATAAGGGTATAACCATAAATCTAATTTCTAAATAATAATCTACTTTTTCAAAATCAATGAGAGTAATTGGTCTATGAGAAAATCCTTGAGACAATGGATCATCATTTCTCGAAATGGGATTTATAGGTAAATTTTTCTTTATTTTTTTTATCTATATGACTAATAAATTAATGATAAAAATATAGCTAAGTATATATAAATTAAAATTGTAAGAAAATTTAATTTAATTATATCAAAATTGTAATGATTCAGTGAAACTTTACATTTTTTTATATTAATTTAAAATATATATATATATATATATATTTGAACTTTTTTAGTTTTAGAGTTGATTGTGGTAGATAAAATGAAAAGACCAACAAACAAATGATACCCTTTGGCCTATTTTGACAACTTGAATGTAACCTATTTTTTTGGCTTATACACAGTTATTTGACAGGATGAAAGAAAGTTACCTTTTTATTTTTTTTCAATATTATTTATTTATGGTGTCATAGGAAAATGGGTATATTGACCACATTATCCCATATAATTTTGGGAAATTACAATTTTACCATTATAGCAGGGTATTTGGACATCACATGATAAGAGAATATTTTGATAATTTTGAAGGTTGACATATTTCCAATTTCCTAAACAATTTTTTTGCTCAAAAAAACTTGCTTTTGGCTTAGGCTTTGGAACAGAAGGAGAAGGTAGAAGAAGCAAATGGGAGCATCAACTTGAGCTTGGTCTCTGCGTCTCCAACAGCCTCCTCCATTTCAACCTTCTTCTGTCGCCAATCTTATTTAGCAGGTTATACATATGTATATTTGTGTGTCTGTGTCTGTGTAATTGTGATGATTATACAAATTTAAATTTAATATATATTTTTTTGATGATTTAAAACAGATAAGCAGCCACCAGAACAATCTTTCCACCTCTAGGGTTTGTAATTTCATCACATTAACAAACCCCCAATTTTTTTCTCTTATCTTTTGCATATGTATGTGTATCTGATGTATGTGTCTTGTGTACAATAACCCACTCAAACTCAATAAATTTTCTAAGAAAGTATATAGAAACTCTTTTGAACCATAATTTATTTTATTTTTTTTATTTTGAAGATGAGGCCTCTATGCATAATTTATCACATAGAAACAAAAACAGTTGTGGGTAAATTGATAAATACTCTCCTTTTCATTTTGGTTTTCTACACAAAATTTACTGATGTATGTGTCTTGGTTTTCATTTTGGTTTGTCATTTCAGTTAGGAAAATCCGACAAAAATTAATATCTAAAGGGAATAATTTTTTCTATTTCTAAGCAGCTTAGGTTATGATTGTCCCCAAATTTCATTTCCGGTGCATTTTTGAATGGATTATGACATTTCACGCTTTATAACGAATTTGTACTGGTTGGAAAATCATTTTGCTCATACTTTTTCTAAAACAATTCAAATTGATATGGACTTTTGACAAAGATATTACAACTCTTTGAACTATAAAGGGAGAAAAAAAAGAAGAATGAAGTAAAAAAAAAAAATGATGCACTAGGAAGAGACTACAAAACAGTCCAAGAAAGGTATACCTTTGAATAGATTATGTTGCTTCTTGAAGTACAGGGGCGGAATTGTTAAATTTGTTTCAAGTTTTAAAAAAAATTTAACAACAGATTGTTCTTATTCATACAAAAACCTTTCAAATTCTGAGCCTGTCAGTGCACTCATATTACTTTTGTTTTGTGTGTACGAATGGAAAATTATATGTGAGAACAATATTAATATCACCCTAAACAAACTAGAATGGCGAAAAAGCATTCATATAGCAGACCCCTAATATATTTCGAGACTCTTGGCATTAGAAGTCTTTGAAAAGCCTTGGATAGTCATCTCCAGAAGAAAGCATAGAAGTTGTTGGATCAGTGAATACTAGCTGACCATGGACTTGACTTAGAGCCAACGGATTAGTCTTGGATTGATTAACAGTTTATGACAGTTAGTATGCAAATCCTTTGGCAATATTTGGCAAGGAAACACGGGAAGCGTAAGAATTTTTTTTTTTTTTTTTTGAACAGGAAGCATAAGATAATTTGTAACCTGCATCTAATTGTAAGAGATGGCTCTAGAGCTTGTTTCAAGAAATCTTCTCTTCCTGCTGGGTTTACTCTAATGAATATGGTTGAAGCATATGCACAAAAATGTTAAAAATTGTTAAACCAGTTTGTGCATACATTAATCAGCTTTGAGTTTGGAGAGTAGCATAGTATGGGCCCACTACAATCAACATTTCCATGAGAGATGTGCTTGCAGCCGAACCCCCAACTCTAACCTAGCCTTTCTCTATGAAGGCAAGGCCCAACAGGCCGTTGTGCCATAGACAGCTGCAGAATGTTAGATTTTGTTTGACCTAGGTCCAAAAATTCATGGTCTAACCTAGGTTCAAAAATTCGTTGTCAACATTTCCTTGACTTGCCCAATCAAGTCAAGAGCTGTTGCGAATTCTCGAATAATGAGTCAAGTCAAGCAAGAACCTTACCCTTTTAGGGACCTCTCTAAGATTTCTTTTTAATAGGAGCAAGGCAAGAACCCGTATATTTAGGAAGAGTAACACCCATCAAGTACTTATCTATTAATGGGTAAGTACAAAGGGTTATAATAAAACTAATTCTTGTGGTATTAAACTTTTGATACATACTATATAGTGTTGGTAGAGAGTGATTCATCAAATATTAACCATGAAAAGTGACTTTCATAGCAGTTAGATGAGGAAACCTTGAGAGAGAGAGAGAGAGAGATCCAACTCCCCCTTTTCCATCTTCCCCTCCATGCGAAACCCCCTCCTACCTTCTATTTTCCCTCAACCGAAACTCCCATCTCCAACTCCCCCTTATCCCCTTTGCATTTCCTTCACTCCAATCCATACAACAACAACAAAGATTGCACGCTATTTTAGTTTGTATGGCTCTCCAAAATAGAGTCATGTTGGAGTACACGAGGTTCTCTGTGTTAGTCAAAAACTTTTGAGGGAAGGTTAGTGCAATTTACCCAGAAAATTTGTTTGTTGCACCCAAGGGACTTCTTTTGAATAAGTTCTCTTAAAAAAATTCCAACAAAATTAATAGGAAAACTTGATGCCCCATTAGTATCAATGAAACTTTAGGTCATGTAATTCTCTGGTTTGTAGCTAGGAGAGTTGAGTGAGGAGAAATTCAAATTTTTGATGTTTGTAGTTTTGATTTATGTTCTAATCTGATTGATGGGGCTTTTTGGTCATCTAGGGATTTTAATGTACCCACACCGTTGATCACTCCATGTTTTTGTTTAGGTTTAATGCTTTCACTAATAAAAGTCTTTTCAGTTACTCAACATATGTATATGTATGTATGTTTGTCATTTACGAGGGCTTAGTGATTGCAGATGCCCTGATTGTCCAATTCTGCTTTGTGGTTTAGACATAAATTTTTATTGTGGAAGCGAAATCTGCTTTCTGTTTTCTTTAGCAAAGGGATAATAAGTACTTAAAAGTTAGAACTGCTATTTAAGATGTGCTTCTGGAATGTGCTTGCTAGATTAGGTCATAAAGTATCTTTAGTAGTTGTATTTGCAGACCTGGGATTGAGTTCTGCCTTTAAAAAGTAGAAAGAAAAAGGTGCTTAGGTTCTAAAGTGTGATCTTGTGAATTTATTTAGTTCTAGTTGTCATATTGCTGAGCTGTGGCAGAGTATTTTGAATTTGGGAGTCAGATCATCTGGTTTTTGGAATCCAAACTATTTTTTATTTTTTATTTTTGGTGTGCTGAAGCCAAAAAAACAAAGCAGCATTAAGGTTGTTTAACAATAGAGGTTGTGTTATACTTCAAAATTCTGTTATCTGTGGCACGGTCATTTTAGGATTATGTCAGTAGTTAAGATTCAAAATCCAAGCAATTTGGCACCAAAGTTGTGTTTCAATCTTGGATTTATGGAACAAAAGGAAAAAGATAAGAACCCTTTCTCTTCCTCCACATATTCATGATCCAAACACGATCTAAAAAGTACAAGAGTGTTTCTAAGAAGCTAACCAGTGGTACCTTAGGTTTCTTATGCTAAGTCATGGCCTTTTGCCATGTGGGTTGTGCCTCTGGTTAGCCCCAAACTGTTTCCTAAGGGCTTTAGCATAGTCATTGGTCTTACAATTAAGAAAGGGGAACTGTGACATTGTTTGTTCTTTGATAATTGGCACATTAATTTGGGCTACAAGTTGCTTGGATTGGATGCTTCTTAAATGGTGGTTACGTGATTGTAACATCATTTTTATTGATTCTGGAAGATGTAATGTTGATTACAATAAAGTAAACAACAATCATGTAAACTTCCTTTCTTATGGTTGATTGACTCAGGACTAAAATGGCGAAAGGTTTGATATGGGCAACAGCAGATGATTTGGCAAGGAATAGAGGACGAGTTCTTTCTCTTTATCGCCAACTATTGCGGAGTCTTAACTCGCCAGATTTGCCACTGAACTTGGCTGCAAGACTGGCCAAAAAGGCTGAGGTTCGTGCGATCTTCATGCTGGCTTCTGAGCAGCGATCCCTACACAACGTCGAAGATCTTATTGATGCTGCTCACTACTCCCTCTCCCTCTTAAGGAAGGGAGAAATCCCCAAATACATCCAATGAATAACTTGTTCGTCATCTTCAACTCTATCTCTCTCACTCTTTGTGCGATTGTGTGTATGGTTCATGAAAGATATTGAAAACCAGTTTTGTCAAATTCATATTAGGGTAACTTATTGGGATCAACAATTGGAAAACAACTTAATAACTTTTCCTTTTTATCAATATTATTTACGCTGTGTTTGGTTGGGGAATTTGCGGAGGGATTTGGAAAGAGAAAGGGAAAAGTTAGGTGAAATGTGAATAAAATATACCTACATTTCACATAGTTTCACACACATTTTCCTTTTTCCTTTCCAAATCCCTCCTCAAATCCCTCAACCAAACACAGCATTAGGGTGTGCCATTCTTTTACTATTGGGAAAATGAGTTTGTTTTGCTTCTTTGAAATGCCATCAATGATCTAAGGTTGGTATTAATGTCAAATACTTGCAATATTTGTCATATATTTATTCTTATTTAGCTCTGGAAAACCTCAGTTGTCAAAGATTTGAATTAGCATGTTATTCAAGTTGATTTGAAACTAGATGTGCAACTTGGGCGGGAGCAACCCGAATTCAGTTCGAATTTTTTTAAGATTTGGATAAGATATTTTCAAATTCAGTATGGGCTTGAGCAAAAATTTAGAAGTCCGAATTAAATTTGGGCGGGCTTGAGCAAAGATGTCGAACAACCCGAGTAACCCGAAACCCGAATTATACATATGTAGATATATAAAAATATTAAATATACATATAAATTATTAGTGATTACATGATATTAAAGTAATTTAGATTATTAAATCATATTGAATATATATTATATATACAAATAATATAAAATCACTCTTCTTTTTTTTTTCTCATAAATTGTAAGAATTACTATAGTGACATCTTTCTTAAATTATATAAATTATTTATTTTGATGGTATTAATGATTTTCCATATAAAAAAAATTATAAATAGAGTCAAATTTTAATAATTTAATAAAGCAATTGAGTGCGCACGCGCACACACGCACGAAAAAATAAAAATGAAATTCATTTATAATTCGGTCAATTCGGGTAAATCGGGTTTAACTCGAGTCGGGCTTGGATAAGCAATCTCGGGTTACAATTTGAGCCTGGACAGGTCTCAGTACAATTTGAATTGGGATTGGAGAATCTCCCAATCCGACCGAACTCGTCCGAGTTGCACCCCTATTTTAAACCATAGTTGAGGCTTGGATTTTGAGCCTAGCATGAAATATTCGCTATTCTAACAAATATGGAGGAATACTCATAATCAATTGGGTATCGATAAGAATCTCAAAATCTCTAATTTATTTTTTTATTTTTTATTTTTTTACTTAGTTGTGTTTAGATCATGAATTTGGATAATGAGGATAATGATTTAGATTTTTTTTTTTTTTTATTAAGGATATTAGTTGTATGGAGTAGATTTCAAGAGATGGGGGTGATTAAAAAAACTGACAAAAATGAAAAAGTGGATAGATGTGTGCTTATAGAAATTTTGGGTTTAATAAACTGTCTTTTAATTTTGTAACTGTCCGATTGGGGATGCCGCTCCGGGCTCCAAACATGGGATATGGATGATGTTAAGTTATGAGTTTAGATTACCTGTTGAGAAAATTATGGGTTTAGATTACTTCTCTGTAACGCCCTCAAAATTTAATTTTTTAATTTTTACTTAATTTGTGTTTGAATCATGAATTTGGATAATGATTTAGATTTTTTTTTTTTTTTATTAAGGATATTAGTTGTATGGAGTAGATTTCAAGAGATGGGGGTGATTAAAAAAACTGACAAAAATGAAAAAGTGGATAGATGTGTGCTTATAGAAATTTTGGGTTTAATAAACTGTCTTTTAATTTTGTAACTGTCCGATTGGGGATGCCGCTCCGGGCTCCAACCATGGTATATGGATGATGTTAAGTTATGAGTTTAGATTACCTGTTGAGGAAATTATGGGTTTAGATTATTTCTCTCTCATGGCTGAGCCTATAAATAGGTTAAAAGAGATACAAAGAAAAGACATACAACTCAACTCATACAACGTGAATTGTAGGAATAATAGCTTAGCATTGTTAGTAGTATTTCAGCTTTAATTTGTTACACTTGCTCTGTCAATGGGTGCTTTTACTGTTTCTTTATACTTGTTTAAGTTCATATAACCTGTAACAAAGTAGTAATTTATTAGTTTAATAGCAATTTAATTCTTTTTGCTCATATTCTTTTTTATTAAGTTCATTTAACTTGTTACGAGTGATAATTTTATCAATTTAATAGCAATTCAATTCTTTTCTCTCATATTCTTCTTTATTTAATTATTTCCAAAAAAATCATCAATCTGTTTAAAACATATAACACAACCACACTTGCTTAATGTGTTTTTGTTTTGTAAAGATCAGGTCTCGTTTGAGAACAGACTAATTTAGTAACTTTTTTACTATTTGGCTAAAATATGAGTTAAAAAAAGTTAGTATGTTTAGGATGACTTTTTGACTTTTTATGAAAAGATATATAAAAAATAGAGAGAAAATAAAATTTTTGACTTTTTAATATGGATTGTTGACTTTTTGATTTTTTTAATAATTTTTTGACTTTTAGACTAAAAGAGACAGTTCCCAAACGAGGCCTAAGTTTTGCCCATCAATTGGTTTTTGTCAATTGATCTTAACTAATTTTTTGCTAACAGCATTTCATGATTTCATATAATTTTATTTTAACAACGTTTAAATATGTAAAAAGTATTTTTAAATTAGTGATCAACTTTACAACATTAAAAGGAAAATGTTATGGACCCCAAATAAATTACCAAACTTTCTACCAAACCTCTCACATGAGTGTGGGATCTACACAAATCAAATGTGTGTGGGTCCCACACCCATGTGAAAGATTCATGGGAGAGATTTGGTAAAAAATTTGATAATTTATTTGAGATGCTAGCATAACTCACATTAAAATATAAAATCATAAATGTTTCTATCAATCTGAAATTGATACCTCGAAGTTTGAGCCAAAAAGGAGATGAAGGCTCGAAGATCAACGTGTTCTAAATCCCAACTTTTTCAGATTAAAACAAAGCTCTCAACGCCCTCTATCTTTTTAACAAAGGCCCTAGGCTAGATTCACACTCTAGGGAGATCAATTCTTAGAGAGAATATAAGTTTAGAGAGAGAGAGTCTCGGATCTGGGGTTGGAAAGAAAAATAAAGTGAAAAACTGATGTTTCAAAACGCTACTGTCCGCTGATATAAAACACGTTCGCTCGAGCGAAGCCTTCGTCGCTCGAGCGACCAGACACAGAAAACTCTCGCTCGAGCCAAAAACTCAAACCCTCAGGTCTGTAACCAGAAGCACGCTCGAGCGACAGACCACTCGCTCGAGCGAAGAACAAACCCAGACCGCTCGAGCGAAGGAAGCTCGCTCGAGCCAAGAAAGGTAACTCTCAGGTCCAGAACCAGACGCAATCGCTCGCTCGAGCGAAGCCACTCTGGCTCGATCCACCAGACACGAACTCAACTCTCGCTCGAGCGACCAACTCCTCGCTCGAGCGAAGGTCCAAAAATCTGGGCAGCAACACTAGGCTCCCAAACACAACCAACCTGTAACAAACCTGCCCAACACATCCTATAACTCAATAAACAAAGTAAAAAGGATGCAAACAAGATAATAAACAACTACCAACATCCACGGACACATGTCCGGATCACTGTACAACAAGGGTAAAACCCGGGATCGCTATATTCTCTCTCATGTGGCTGAGCCTATAAATAGGTTAAAAGAGATCCAAAGAAAAGACATACAACTCAACTCATACAAGGTGAATTGTAGGAATAATAGCTTAGCATTGTTAGTAGTATTTCAGCTTTAATTGGTTACACTTGCTCTGTCAATGGGTGCTTTTACTGTTTCTTTATACTTGTTTAAGTTCCTATAACCTGTAACAAGTAGTAATTTATTAGTTTAATAGCAATTTAATTCTTTTTGCTCATATTCTTTTTTATTAAGTTTATTTAACTTGTTACGAGTGATAATTTTATCAATTTAATAGCAATTCAATTCTTTTCTCTTATATTCTTCTTTATTTAATTATTTCCAAAAAAATCATCAATCTGTTTAAAACATATAACACAACCACACTTGCTTAATGTGTTTTTGTTTTGTAAAGAATAGGTCTCGTTTGGGAACAGGCTAATTTAGTAATTTTTTGACTATTTGGCTAAAATATGAGTTAAAAAAAACTAGTATGTTTAGGATGACTTTTTGACTTTTTACGAAAAGATGTACAAAAAATAGAGAAAAAATAATATCTTTAACTTTTTAATATGGATTGTTGATTTTTTGATTTTTTTAATAACTTTTTGACTTATAGGCTAAAAGAGACAGTTCCCAAACGAGGCCTAAGTTTTGCCCATCAATTGGTTTTTGTCAATTGATCTTAACTAATTTTTTGCTAACAGCATTTCATGATTTCATATAATTTTATTTTAACAACGTTTAAATTTTTAAAAAGTATTTTTAAATTAGTGATCAACTTTACAACATTAAAATATAAAATCATAAATGTTTCTATCAATCTGAAATTGACATCATACGTGAGGTCCCATATTTCTATAAAATTATACCGTAGTGATTAAGAGGCTCTATTAATCAAAGCTCTACTAATGTGGCAATCAAAAAAATAAATAAGTAAAAGTCATAACATCAAATCACACAAAGCTCACAATTTAGAGTTGTTGGAACATTTTTCAAAATCATAAATGTTTCTATCAAATTATAAAGTCTTTTCACTAGCCGTTATAATCGTTAAATGCCTCAGTTCTCTTTTTTCTTTTTTTTTTTCATTGCATCAATCTGTTGATAACATCTTATGCTCAATCGCTCAATCAAAATCCACAAATTCCAGAAGGCCATGAGCTTCTCTAATTCTTCTTCCTCTTCTTTATCTCTAATAATCCCACATGCCTCTCATGTTGATCCCCAAGAACTCTCAATCATTCGCAGACTCGATTCCTGCAAATCCACCCGAGAACTCAAACAAGTCCACTCCTACATCATCAAAACAAAACCAACTCTTCAAACCCAACTCATATATACAAAATTCATCTCTATATGTGCTACATCTTATAATCATACAGACCTCAGCTACGTCAATGCCATTTTCACCCAAGTTTCCAACCCAAGTATCAGTGTATACAATGCCATTATCAGATGCTTTTCTCGTTGCAAAAACAGCAATGACTCGTTCACCGCGTTGTTGTTTTATCGTGAATTGCTCGTGAAAGGCTTGGTTCCCGATAACTACACATACCCTTTTGTTCTCAAGGCTTGTGCGCAATCCCGTGCATTGAGTGAAGGCCAGGAGGTTCATGGGCATGTAGTCAAGAATGGGTTGGTGTTAGATTTGTATGTTATGAACACATTGATGAGAATGTATGCTGTTTGTGGGGTTATTGGAGCTGTTCGCAAGTTGTTCGATGAATATCCTCAAAGAGATTTGGTTTCGTGGACGACATTGATTCAGGGGTATGTTAAGATGGGGTTTTGGAAGGAAGGTGTCAAGGTGTTTTTTGAAATGTGCGAAGCAAATCTTCGAGCTGATGAAATGACAATGGTGGTTGTCCTTTCTGCATGTGCTAACTTGGGAGATTTAATTTTGGGTAGGAGGATACATGGGTATATGCGTGATCATAACATGAATTTTGATGTCTTTGTTGGCAATGCATTGGTTGATATGTACTTGAAATGTGGTGATGCTGATCTTGCTCGCAAGGTTTTTAATGAGATGCCTGTGAAAAATGTGGTTTCTTGGAATTCGATGATATCAGGATTGGCACAGCAAGGGGAATTCAAAGAAGCCTTGAATATGTTTAGGAAGATGCAAAGTAGAGGCGTGAAACCAGATGATGTCACTATAGTTGGTGTGCTCAACTCATGTTCTAATCTAGGCATGCTTGAGTTGGGGAAATGGGTTCATGCATATGTGGATAGAAATCATATAAAAGCAGATGGGTATATAGGGAATGCACTGGTAGATATGTATGCAAAGTGTGGAAACATAGATGAAGCCTTTAAAGTCTTCAATGGCATGAAATGCAGAGATGTCTATACATACACGGCTATAATTGTTGGGCTAGCCATGCATGGTCAAGGAGGGAGAGCATTGGATCTATTCTCTGAGATGCCTAAAATGGGCATAGAACCGGATAGCGTGACATATGTTGGTGTCCTCATGGCATGTAGCCACACAGGACTTGTGAGCGAAGGCCGTAAGCATTTTTCACAGATGTCAAGAGTATACAACCTTGAACCTCAAACAGAGCACTATGGTTGCATGGTTGATCTATTGGGTCGTGCAGGGTTGATAAATGAGGCAGAAGAGTTTATCAAAAACATGCCCATTGAACCGGATGCTTTTGTTTGGGGAGCATTACTGGGAGCTTGCAAGATCCATGGAAAAGTTGAGCTTGCAGAGATTGTTATGGATAAACTTGTTAAGATGGAGCCTGAAAGAGACGGTGCCTACATACTCATGTCAAACATATATTCCTCTGCAAATAAATGGAGAGATGCAATAAAGTTGAGAAAGGCATTGAAAGAAAAAAACACAAAAAAGACTCCCGGCTGTAGTTCTATTGAATTGGATGGTGTGGTTCATGAGTTCCGAAAAGGTGACAAGTCACACCAAAAAACTAAAGCAATTTACATATTACTCGGTGAAATTACAGGTCTTTTAAAGAATAGTGGGCAATGGGTACGTACTGATGAACTTTCTTAACGGAACAAAAGATGTCATTTACAATCGATCTCTCTTTTCTTCTATCTGATAGCATAGTGAGCATCAAGCATTTTGAAGATTCATCATGGCCTGTTAGAGATGAGCAAGACCTGTTGGAGATGAGCAAGAGTTCTCGTAGCCTCTTACTCTCTTCGATTCATTTAGCGGAGGCTGGTGGTCTTGTCGTGTAAGTGTATAACTTAATATGCAGGTCTTGTAATTAATTAATGTCGTATATTTATCACAGTCAAACATATCAAAATGTTAAAATCCCTATTTGTTTTAAATTTTTTTTTAGTACATGTAAGTATTATGTGTACTATTTGGGCGTTATATGTAAGTACATGTAACTCCCATTCAGAAGCTGCTTCATTGTCTTCAAGGTTAACAGTAATATCATGAGATTTAGAATGGATTTTCATATCAAACTTGTAGACTAGTTACCATTTGACTGCTGGTGTGGTTAAATAAAAGACCAAAACTACATAGAAGAATATTGGTAATATGTTCACAGTTGAGGTATTAAATAAAAGACAATACACGGTAGGACTTCTTATAAACATAAAATCAGTAATTAAAATCAATCCAAAACAAAGCAGCAAACAAAATCTATGATTTGCAAACAACATTCCAATCTTTGGAAATCAAAAAGAGCAGGACCCCTCCAAAAGAAGGGGACACTAAGGCCCAAAAGGATGCCAAGGTATGAACTCTATCCCACATTGAATCCACGCTCCCAAATCTATCTTCAAAAATCCTTGCGTTCCTTTCCATCCAAATAAAACAAATTATTGCACCAAGCCACAATGCTTTTGCTCTCCTCCTACCCCCAAATCTCTGAAAGTCAATTAAAAGAACATGAATACTTGCCCTTGGAGCCACCCATGACAGCTCCACCAAACGAAAAAGTCATGGCACAAGTTCAACACCACAAGGCAATGTAAGAATAGATGATTCAAAAACTCCTCATCTTTCTTATACATGACATATCATTGAGGAGAAAGATAGCAATTAGACCTCTTTTGTAAGGTATCATTGATCAAAAGGCCTCCACGAGCCAACAACCACATAAAAATTTTCACCTTAGGCAGTACAAAAAGGTTTCCAAATGTTTTTGTAAAAGGTGAAGGAAGGCACTCTAGGATTGTCAATGATTTTGTCAAACAAGGATTTATATGTCAAGTCCTCAAAAGACTGAATGGACAAAACCCGTTTATCACCCCTATTTAGAAACAACAAAAGATGATCCAACTGGGACAGCAAAGAACACTCGTGGCCCTTTTTGTAGATATAATTCTACAATAGAACACTCATGGCTCATGTCACAAGTCATGACTCCTATGCAAAGTCGTTCATGCCTGCACAAGCCATGATTCAGCTCGAACACATGTTGCTGCTAGTGAGATCTCACAGTGGCATCACTTGAGGAGAAAGAATGAAGTCCTGGGATACCTGTAAAAAGTGGACAGGCAAGACATGAGGCTGGAGTTTGTAACTGAATATTGATAAATGTATTTAGGCAGAAAAACTGAAGCTCACATATGTGAGATGGTCTCATGAAAACATTCAAAAAGTTGTGATTTAGTTTACCATTTTATCCTTAAAAGTTGAATTTGAATTATATAAATTCTAGCATGATTCTCTTTAAATTTCTGGTCTTTTTATGAAATAAAAATTCCTAGATTTCAAGACACCAATTGATGTCTGCCTTTTTATAGTTAGCTTTTTCTACACTCTTTTGCTAAAAATATAAGGTTTTCACAACCCAGATTGGTTTATACATATATACAGAAGATGGAGTTGATAATTTCCAAATCAGAGATCATCTAGCTACTACTAGTTATTGCAAAAGAGAAATTTGAAACTTCAAAAAACATTTACCTTAAAACAAAACCTTAAATAAACACCCAAAATCACCACATTTACCATTCTCAAAGCTTACATTACACAAATTAAAAACACCTGATCAGTTGGCATACCACTGCATTGGAACTCATCATGAGTCCCCACATAATAGTGAGCTATAGAAAAAACAACATACAAGAAGGATTCTCATTACCAGTGGTATAGTATAGTAGACTGTTTAGCATACTTGTACATTTCTGATATTATTTTTGAAGTGACATCAGAAAACAAAACCAAAATAAGAATAACTTTTAAATTCTCCCATTATTTGGGAACAAAATATTTGAATATGTCAACACAGACCATGATCTCAAAATAGTAAAAATTGATTTAAGAAAAAAATATATATATTTGTTTGTTTAGGTTGTTTACTCAGTCAGTACCCTTTTCTTTTCCTTATTCTAATTTAATTGAATCATAACCATGTCCTTTACAATTATTCATTGAATCGTAACCATGTCCTTTTCAATTATTCCGACAACATTTTGAATCTCCATCATAAAATTGCATATGCACATGCCAAGTTCAACCCCAAATATATGGGTGTGTGAGAGAGAGAAATTCAAGTGAACAGCCATAGCCGTCTTGCTTATGTTATTTCAAACATTAATTACAACCAAATAGATTTGAGATAAGGATGAAGAACAAAATAAAGTCTTGGTATAAATAGACCGAAGCCATAGAATCTCACATGTACCTTGTGTCATTGTCCGATACTCAACCTTTGCAGAAGATCTAGAAACAATCACCTGTTTCTTGCTTTTCCATGATATAAGATGATCACCATAGAAAGTACAGAAACTAGACGTGGAACACCGATCAGTTCTACATCTTGCAAAGTTAGCATCGATAAAATAGAAGAGCCCGAATTGAGAACCAGTTGTGAAGAATAGTCCCAATCCAAGAGAAGTCGTCAGATACCACAAAATGTGGTGAATAGCATCAAGATGCTCTAACAAGGTACCTGCATAAATTGACTCACAACACTAACCGCAAATGTCAAATCAGGTCTAGTGTTGGTCAAATAAATGAGATGGCCAACAAGACACTAATTCATTCATATGTGAGTCATTTAATTAGAATTTTCATTCGTAAAGGAAACATATTGGTAAGAGGGTTCCCACATAAGGGAGAGTGAATTGAAAAGCTCAACTTTCTTGAGTGAACAAATCTTCTGTACTGCCCCCTATAAGTAAAGGTCGAAGCTTGCTGGGTTGGTTGGGTAGGAATTGGAAGGGAGAGAATTAGGGAAACTTAGGAATAGCAAGTTGTGCCCATTATACTCTTGAAAGCCTAATCTACTAAAATTAGAGGATTTTGGGTTTAAGAGTTTTCATTGGTTCAAAATAAATTTAAATCAATATAGCAAAATTTAGTTACTAGCTAATTAGGTGTGCTAAACTTTGTGCTAAATCAAGTGCTCTAAGGTCATACCACAAGGAGATAAAGTGGATTTTATCCTAGAATATATATACCTTTTCTTTGAAGAGTTGGCAATCTAAACAGCATCGCTAATAGTCATCGTCATTGTCATTATCATTATCATTGGTCATCTCTAACTCCGTTGCCATCCCTATTGCGATTGCGATCCCCATTGCGATAGGCTATCTATGCAATAATTAAAGAAAAAGTAATGTTAACATTTCACAATGTTTTTGAAGTAAAAAGCAGTTGTTTGTAAAATAATGACCTTAGCCATGCAAACTACAATGTCAACAGTAATCGTCTATTGTTTATCATTGATAAACTACTAAATGCATATACTTGAGATAATGATGAAAAAAAACATCGCATTAGTAATAGTAACAATCATGTCTCCAATAATTTTGTATTCTCATATCTTTAAAAAAAATAAATAAATAATGTTTGAGAGTTCTAATGTAACTCTAATGATGTGAAAAGTGTCCATGTGAACGTGAGACTCACACTCCTCTCTCTATCTCTCTCTCTCTTTCACCTCACTAGAACTCCATTTAGAGCTCTAATATTAGCGCTATGTGTCATTATTGTAAAAAAAAAATAGGCATAGACAAATGCTGGTGGTGTGGAACATATCTTAAGGATATAAATATGCTATTGATTCTTAAATACACAGCTCACTATTACAAAAATCAGTTGTTTCTCAAGGATATTGTTTCCTAATGATAGGTAATTCTTGGAGACAACATGGCTGCTAACGAGGCAGATGTTGTGGTTACGTGTGGTTACGTGTACTACCTCATTTCACCCTTTTGACTGGTTCTAGCCTCATAAAAGGTCTTTTTAAGTTGCGTTTTGTATTGATTTGATCTCTGCAGTTCTAATTGTTATCAATTTTGTGTCAATTCAACCTAATTGATAACATCTATTAAGAAATTATAATTTATACATAAATCAATGGCAAAATAATTCATTCAAAAGAAATGGATCATTTCAAATTAGATGTCAACCCCTCAATCCAAGATTTTAAAAAGCGGCCACAACTGTTACGTAACATCGTTACGTAATGATTGTAATGGTTACCGTTACCCGTTACGGCCGCTATAGCGATTTGACGGAAATTCACATGTGTAACGGCTGTAACAGTCCGTTAGTCACCGTTACACTCTTTTACAATATTCTGAATAGCTTCCTTTTCCAAAAAAAAAAAACAAAAGCTTACAAAAAAAACACAAATACTGAAGTGATTCAAACCCAAAGAAAAAATCTTATATGAATTTTTTTCCTTTATAATTTTTTTTTTTTAATTTATGGCGCAATTTTTATTTTATAATACTTTCATTTAACAATTGTGAATATTTTTTATTCAATTAGTTCAGGTATTGATAAAAAATAATTTGTAAACATTTAAAATTAATTATTCTTAAAATCATTAATTATTGAAATAAAATGTAAAAAACTCTTTTATGAAATATATTAGATTATACTTAAAAATTAACAAAAATGGATCAAAATTTATTTTAAACCCCAATAAATGTGATTCTAGAAAGAAAAAATACATATATACGCATCGGTAAATTTTCTTCAAATTGTGTAAATAAAAAAAAAAAAAAAAAAAAAATTCACGATTTTAGTTACCACAACTATTATGCTACGGCTTTTATACCGAGCAATCGCAACTGCGTCACTACAACCGTTACGACGACCACAACCGCTTTTCAAAACCTTACCTCAATCACTTTGGAGAACGTGAATGAACTATTTTTTCTCTTGATTTTAGTGAACTTTCTAATAGGGCGTTATCAAGTAGCCTAAATTCACACATGAAAAAAAAAATTAAGTGTAAAATTGATTTAATTAGAACAAGCAGGACTAATTGACCATGAAATAAAAAGACGAGTGCAAATTGCCCATAATACATATATTTTGATAACCCAGGACAGAACCCCACTCAAACTTGGGGTAATAAGATGCACCACTACTTCATCAGGAAACAAAAAAAAAATGGAAAAAAGAAGAAAAGATGCACCACTCCTCATTACCAGGTGAAAAGCAAGAGGCTTGACTTTGCCAAGAGTTGAACTAGAAACATAGAGGCTATAACCCTCAAGTCTTACGAACACAATTATTTTGAAAGTTAACGTTATTAGCAATGCTACTAAAGTTGAAAATTCTGCCAAAACCGACAGAGATATGAACGATTCGTTCTAACATAATTTGTGGGCCAATTCATTCACTGTGGCTCATGTGACATAAGTGGGCTTCGGCCAATAAGTCAGCCTAGGATATTTTTTTCTTTGTATTGATATCATTTTTAGGATTACCTCAATTGTCAATTTACAAACTTATGTGCACCTAATTGTAATTATCCCTATAGTTAACCATGTTCATGAGTAATGTGGCAATTGTCGTATAGTCATGGTCTGTATTCATTTACCATGACTACCATTTTCTTAGTTGTAAGATGTAAAACAGCTAAAAAATTAATCGGTGAAGTTGTCTTCTTGAGTTTGTTGAAAACTTGGAAATCTATAATTGGAGTTTTACCTGGAAATTTGGGACAGAACCATATGTTAATTGTTTGGCTGGAATTCGAGCATCGTTTATGTCAGGGCCAAAACACACAAGACTTGGAAGATCATGAAGTTGGACATGGCGAAATTGGAACAAATGGATTTCTTCTTCATCGTTTTCCCTGGTGACAATCTTTTCTACCTTCTCACAATGTCCAATTATTAGGTCTTTTAGATTCACAAGGACTTTGGCCATGGAAATTGTGAATATATATCTCAAGTTGTCACAATTCTTCACTTTTAGATAACTTAGATTTCTGAAACAATGAGTTTGTTGGGGAAAACACTTCCATATATGCGTCAGCTTGGGCAAATACTTCAATTCCAACTTGCTTAACTGAGTGATTGATGTTCCTTTTTCACCAGCACCAACACCAACACCAACTCCAACACCAACACATACCTCCTCTTTGAGGTCAAATATCATTTCCAAGGAATCACACCACCATACCTTTAGTTCTTCAACTTGGTGTAATCTTTGTATTAAATTAGATGAAACAATACTTAATAATGTCCTGCAGCACTGGACCCACATAACTCTTACGTTGTGAAGGCATCCGACTCCAAGTTGATTGTGCCATATCTCAGTTGGCTCATCTATTCCTGTGACAGTAAGTTCCCCCTTGCTGCTTAAACTAAACTGCGATTGCAATCACTTGTGTTAGTAACATATTTACAAATTACTGCATAAAACAAAGCCAACTTTAAAACCACACCTTAACTAAGACCAATGCGGCAATAAAATAAAATAAAACAAAATTCATATTGTGATATGTTCAGCAAAATTCAAAACCATTGGAAATAATAAAAGTTGAAAAATTATGAATCACTGAATAAAACAAACTCAACTTTAAAGCCACACGTTTACTTGGACCAATGTGGCAATAAAATAAAACAAAACAAAACTCATATTGTGATATGTTCAACAAAAATTGAAGCCATTGGAAATAATAAAAGATGAAAAAAGTAAACATACAGAAGATCCATTTACACCATTAACCCCTTGTACAGGTCTCTAGTAAATACTAGAATAAGCACCAAGGATCTTCTAGAGTGAAACTTCCCTAAAGTTTCCTAGAGTACTACATTGTGTGGTTGAGATTTACTGGCAAGTCACATCAGAAAAATTGATGTGACTTGCCAGTAAATCTCAACCACACAATGTAGCACTCTAGGAAACTTTAGGAAAAAATCACTCTAGAGGATCCTTGCTCTAATGTAAGAGTACCAACAACGGTTACAATCTCCACCATATAATTGAATTAAATATGTAGTTTGATATTTCATGAAATCTCTGCCGACCTACATGTCCATAACTAGAAAATCAACAAATTTACTTTGGCATATTTGGTGAAAACCTAATAATATGATGTTGAAATATTTCTTCTACTATTTTTTCTTCAACATTTTTCTTTTTCTTGGTAGTTGTCCATGTTAAAAATAAGGGGTTAAAAATAACCAGAAAATAATAATTTTGTATAACAATCACGAAAATTATTTATAGAGGTGCAATGCAAATACATAAAATATGATCGTAACAAATATTTATCAACAAAGGCGTGTCAATCACTATCCTAAGGAGTAGGTTCTGCCCCCACAGAGTGTGTCACCTGGTTCACCAAGTTAATGATGTCTTACCCTCCAAGATTCAGCTATTGCTTTCCCGCAAGCGTGCACAAGCAATGTAGAGGCATAAAAAATAGCTCGTTTCATTGTCATAAAAATAAAATAAAATAATATATATAGGAAAATATTCACTACAAGAATTTACACATTTGGCGACCACTTTTGCTGACCAAAAAAATTTTGGTCGCAAAAAAATGACATTTGGCGACCAAATATTAATTAGTCGCGAATGATCATAATTTTTGGTGACCAAATATTATTGGTCGCAGAAGGTTATATTTTGGCGATCAAAAAAAGAGTTGGTCGCAGAAAGTGGTATGTTTTTGGCTACCAACTACAAATTTGATCGCGGAAGGTGACATTTTTTTTGGCGACCAAAAATTTGGTCGCCAAAAACTTATTTTCAATAACCAAAAAAATTTAGTCCCCAAATTAGCACTTTTAACGACTAATATTTTAGTCGCTGTTGATTGAGATTTGACAACTAAAAAATTTTGTCGGCGAAAGGTACCGTTTCTGCGACTAATCTGGTATTTTGGTCGCCAAAAATTTGGGAGGAAAATTTGAAACGTGGGGCGGGAATTGAAATTTTTTATCTTTAGCAAACTGTTAGCTCACACATTTTCATTTTCTTCTCTCCCATCTCTCTTTGAAATAGGTGCGAGACAAGCGAACAAACAACACCGAACCACTCTCTCTCTCTCTCGTCTTTGCGTTCGATTCGAACCCTGGGCACATTGAATCAATCATTTGGAGTCTCTCTTGGATCTTCAATCAATGGTGTCTTGATCTGGTAATCAATATCTTGCTCTTTATTTCGTTCTTGATTTTTCACATGTTTGGTTGCTGAGAAATAATCAGTCGGAGTCTCTCTCGGATCTTCAATCAATGGCGTCTTTATTTCTTTCTATATCATGTTTGATTGGTCACGATTTGAGATAATCTGAGTGTGCACTTATGAGTTTTTATCATCGCTTTGAATCGGAGGGATGCTAGGGAAATTTGAAATCGATCTCTCATTCCCCAAATTCGCTCATGACTTTAAAGGAGAGAACTTGTGGGTTCTGTGTTTAAGTTTATCATATATATGATAATGGTTTTTAGGATATAGAACTTGATTGAATTTTATAGTTTGTGCATTCAATTTACAGAGATAGCTCACTCACTCAGATCTCGATCTCTCTTTCTCTTTCTCTCTCTGAAGCCATGTGATTAGGTGATTCGTGTATTCGATGTAAAAGTTGTCTATTGACTTTCGCTTTCTCATCGATTCTCTTTTGGAAGACCACCAATTTTATCAATTTAATTAGCTTTGGAAAATAATCTGTAAGAATTTTGTCAATTCTCTCTCTCTCCCTCATGCCTCAACTTACTTGAATTTCCCAGTCTCCTCGCTCATCTCTCTTTGATTTTGATTTTGATTTTGATTTCTTGGGTTTTCATTCCCTTATTGAATGTGATTTCACTTCTGTGATTGTTCGTTTTGTTTCAAGTTCATACATCTCTCGGATCTTTCTTGTATCTTTCTTTTCTAGGGTTTTGGGGATCTACCATGCATTGAGTGTGTGTAATTTTAAGGTTTTATTTTCAGAACCTATTGATTTCGGATGCCCCCATTTTCGGAGTTTCAAGAACCCATCTTTGCTTTCTAGGGTTTATGTGCGCTCTCTGTTTAGAGGGTTTTCTGAGCTTGTCTGAGCTTTTTATTGTGTACCCATTTGTTAAATTTAGAAGAAACATCAATCAATTTGGTTTGTGTTTTTTTGAAACCTCAGACTTGTAAAGCTACCTTTTTTCTTGGGGTTTTGCTTTGATTGAAAAAGAATAATCAATTCTGTGTTTTGTGGTCATTGCAGTTTGTGTCTGGGCTGCTAGGATTTGGAGATTTTTGTAGATGGAAAAGGATAAGTTCCCCAACCATGGTAGGGGGTTTTCTGCCTCCGTTAGGACGGTATTCGGGTTTTTCTCCTCCGGGTAACAGTTTCAATACGAAATCAGAGCCTATGGCATCATCAACATTGCCTCCACTAGGACCTGGGGGTAGTTCAGAAACGGGTCATTTTGGTCATGGGATTCCTATGGATTCTAGCCATTTTAGTCATGATATTAGCCGAATGCCCGATAACCCGCCAAAGAATAAGGGCCATCGGCGTGCCCATTCGGAAATTCTTACTCTTCCTGATGACATTAGCTTTGATAGTGATCTTGGTGTTGTGGGTGGTTTGGATGGACCTTCGTTGTCTGATGAGACTGAAGAAGATTTGCTTTCTATGTACCTTGACATGGATAAATTTAATTCATCCTCAGCAACATCTGCCTTCCAAGTTGGTGAGCCATCTTCTGCAGCAGCTGCACGAACTCCAGCTTCAGCAACTTCTCCTACTGAGAATGTGGCCCCTTCTTTTAGTGAGAGGCCCAGAGTTAGACATCAGCATAGCCAGTCGATGGATGGGTCGACTACAATTAAGCCTGAGATGCTCATGTCAGGTTCAGAAAAGGCATCTGCAGCTGATTCTAAGAAATCCATGTCTGCTGCTAAGCTTGCTGAGCTTGCTCTTATTGACCCAAAGTGTGCCAAGAGGTAGGGTTTGTAATGAAACTGTGTTGTTTGGTTGGTTCGTGCCTATAGCATCATTGGAATGTGCACAAAGGATTACACAAACTTTTCTTAATTGACCTAAAGCATCCTGCAATGACACTGTTCTTTGGAATGAATGAACACTCTACTTTTTATCCTATTGGACAGTCTGCATAAATATTAGCTGAATCCCCCCATTTTAAAGTCTGGAGCAAAGTTCCAGTTTGTTCGGGGAAATGGTTCTCAAACTTCAATAGCAAAATTTAACTAGTCAAGAATACAGTTTTAAAACTACAAAATTAGTGTGATAAAGTGTTTTATCGATGCAATTGAAAGAAAAAAGTGTGTTATTGATGGGAGAGAAATATCCTGTTTTGCTTAGAATAAAATTTGGGCTGTTAATATTAACTTTCTGAAATGTGAAAATGTGGGTTAGAATGCTAGGTATTTGCTTGTCCAGCTTGATAACTTGTTCTGTGGCTCTTTTCTCTTTTGGTAGGTTTTATAAACAGAGTGAGGCCCAGTTTTATAGGCTTATTCCTCACCCAGTTGTGCTATTTACATTAGAAAATTTCTCATTTTGCATATGTGATATCTAGCCATACTATTAATTTTCCATTAGATCAACTAATTGCCATCAATTTACATTTTATCTTTTCCTTCTCAAGGAGTTGTCTATTTAGTTCTTGACTTCCTAACCTGTCTGTTTTGTGGTTGGCGGCTCTGTTGGGTGATGCCTTGATTACAATGCAAGATGCTAAGCTTCCTTGGTGGAAGAAACTCATGTTTCTCCCAGACTTAAAATATTCATAATAAATGGGCATCTGAATGTGCTATATAAGTATTTTACCGGCCTTTGCTAAAGTTCTTTTGTCAAACCCAATTGGTACACATTTCAGCATAGCTTATAATGTTTGCCTTGATGTTGATGTTTCTGATACAACCATGGCAGTACTTGGTCAAATTAATAGACATTTCTTTTTTACATCCAATAAAAAAAGGTCCGGCAATTTGTCATGTGTATGGTTCTATATCCCACATCAATTGGTCAAATTAATTTTAACCATGGGCTATGGAATAACACCAAGTATGGGTGGGCTTTTGAATGGTTAGCCCCTTGAGTTAAGTGGTCTAAAGCATTAAATCTTTTTATAAATAAAGATCGCTATGTTGTTGAATTGGCCCGGTTTGCTAAGGAATTGATAATTTATCCAGTTCAAGTCAATGTGTTGTAAAATGGTTGGTTCACATGTGATTTTTTATCCCAATGGTGTACTGGGGTGAAGGGCCAAAAACCAATTCAAACCAGCTGGCATGCTACATACCAGCTGGTATTCTAAGCCTTGGTCCGTTGCTTGATGAGTGGATAGGTTTCAGTTACATAACTGCCATGGATGCTTTGTAATGCTTCTTTCGTTGACTAAAATATTATTTTTGAAATTTTTTGTTTTTGTTTTTGTTTGAATCAATTGAGGCAGAGCAGAGTAGAGCAGTAGCAATTGGAAGTGTTTGACTAGATTTTGGATCTCTGTGGTTGGCTTGATGTCATTTTCAAAAAATGAAAATTTTGAAACCCTTTCAATTAATCAATCAAAATCATGCCAAAATTTTATTCAAAAAAAGAAAAAGAAAAAGAAAATATGTTTTCTAATAATTGTCAATTGCCAATGGAAGTAGATTTTTGAAACTTCATAAAATTACTAGAATTATGTTTCAAGTTTCAAAAAAATGCTTATTTCAGGGGAATTTAACAACCCCCCCCTCCAAAAAAAAAAAAATCTATAGCATCTATACACACCCTTAATTTTTTCAATGGTTGAGTGGCCTTCCCTATTGAATCTGTAATAATAATTTGTAAAAACTCTGCAGCAGGCACTTTTTAAGTGTATTGCAGTTCTATTTGCGCTACATTCTATATTGATTTAGGTGCAACTAGTGAACTAGTACTGGTGAATATCACATAGCAATTGGCATACTACAAATATGAGATCATGATACTTTATCTTCCTACGTTGAGACATCTACTGAAGCAAGTACTTCTTCTGCTAAGTCCCTGTAACTTGTCAAGTCAAATATTTATTAATACCCGATTGAGGATGTGTTCATTTCTGTTGGAGCTAGCAATATTCATAGAAACTGCCATGTTTTTGAGTTTTCAAACCATGCCAATGTTGTTCTATTAATTAGATGTATATCTAGAGCTAATTCCACATTTTCTATTTTCAACAGCGCAGAGCTTTCATTAAAGCTCATAATCTTCATGAAACTCAGATATTTGCCAAAATTGAGACAATGGAGGTAAGCTAGGCATTGACATTATAATTGAATTCCTGAAGGAAATGATATGTTCTATTTTGCTGTTATATAATTGCAACTGTAGTGCTTTAATGTTGGATGGATAAACCGATTGCATGTACATTGCTCCATATTTTGCCAGGGATTGAGACATTTTGATGAGATCCTTCAGGAAGCAGATGGTGTTATCCTCTCTCGCGGGAATTTAGGAATTGACTTAGCCCCAGAAAAGGTGTGTATAGATGGAACTATCACCATTAACCTTAGACAGATCTTACCTTTCTCTAAAAATTTAATTTCTTTATTAATGATTTCTTAGTATTTTGTTCAATAACAAGTGATAAGTTCTATTATGTATGAAAAAAGCAATAGAACATGAAAATTTATTTGGATGGGCATCCTCCACCAAAGGTTGGAGGGAAAACTAAAACAATTAAGTGATACAAGTTTGTAAAACTGTGGCTCAACCTTTTGTTTTTCAGCTTGGATGCCAACTGCTTGAACTTTTTAGATTCAAGATCAATTTGCAATCTTCTTTGTTAGTATCAACCAACTTTTGTAGCCATTGCCGTTGAATTGCTCCAAATCTGGTTTTTTCTTCAGTTTGATTCAATAATTGGCTTCTCTTAAACAGATGGAGATCTTGGGAAACATCTTTGCTTGACTTTTTTTTATTTTATCAAACTCAGGAGCTGTAGATTCTTAACAAGTTTAGGGTTCTATTAGTGATTCATCTTTCTTGGGCAGCTGTTGGATTGCAGGCTTGTAGTTTTCATTTGTACAGCTAGAGGCCTATAACCAAATTTGTGGGTTGTAAGATCCCCACTCCACCATCACTGACCAGCTGTGATCGTGAGTGATCGAACCTGTCTCTCTCTACACAAAAATAAATATATTTTTCATAATGATGTGTTATTGGATTTTCTGTTTTGTATGCAGTCACCTCTTCTCCCTCTACTCCTGGTGCTCCTTCTCTGCCTGGTATGTGTTTTTGTTTTGAATAGTTTTCTAGATCCTTAAAATAGAAAGCGCAAAAATAAATAAATAAAATAAATAATCAATGTGTTGTTACTCAGCTTAATTTTAGTGGCGGGTAAATTGCAGATTGGGATTCACTGGTGTTTTGTGTACTATGGTTTTAATATTGGATTGTATAATATTATAAGGATGACATTATTCTATCATATTTTGTTCACTTATGTTGCATATTCAAAATAATTACCCAGAATTAAAATATACGTATAAGATTTGTTCTTTGTATAACCCTCAATCACTAACTTTAAATTTACATTCTACACTTTATTTTCCTTATAAAATTATGCCTATAATTTATTATTTTGTGATAAATGTCAGTATTGTACTGATCTAATAGCCTCATATCAGTTATCTCATACCAATGCAACAAGGTCATACCAATGAAATTGACACCCAAGGTCAAGATACTGATGAACCAGTTAAGAAGAGTCGAGGGGGTTGTGGTGCTCAACAACCTACGCTCACTATTGAAGGTATGAAAATGATTGCTGAATACAAGCTTCAGAAGAAGAAAAATGATGACCCAGAACAGCTTCCTGAACCTGTTGAAAGGAAACAGCAGCTCTCCGCTGAAAGGGTAGCTTCAATGAAGAAATGTTTCTAGCTATGTATTTTCTATGTTTTGTTCTCGTCAATTTCTAGCTGAGCAAGACTTACAACGCGAGCATTATATGACAATTTCTAGCTATGTATTACAGATTTTAATGAAATCCATATTGTGTCGAATGTTAATGATTCAGTTAATTTGAATGATGCTTTAAAATTATAGGTTTATTATGGATTGAATGAATTATTAGGAATTACAGGTGTATCGTTTTCTTGCTTTGGCGACCAATTTATTAGTCGCGACAAATAAATACTTTTTTTTTGCAAAAAATGACAATTGCTGACCAAGAGTTTTGGTCACAAAAAATACATCTATTGCCGACCAAAACAGCTCTTGGTTGTGGAAACTCACTTTTGCCGACCAAAAGTTTTGGTCGCGAAAAGTAACAAATGGCGACCAAATTTTTTTGGTCGTGGAATGTGATAATTGGTGACCAAACTTTTTGGTCGCGAAATGTGTCAATTGGTGACTAAGATATTTGGTCGGGAAAAGATCACTTTTTGCGACCAAAGTGTTTTAGCGACAAAATGAATTAGTCGCGATAATTAAATATTTAGCGACCAAAAATTTAATCGGAAAATCTAACTTTTGCAGACCAACCAAAATTTTGGTCGCGAAATACTTTTGCCGACCCTCAATTGGCGACCAAAGTAGCGACCAAAAAAATTGGTCGCGGATAACTTTTGCCGACCAAAAATAGACTTTTAGCGACCAATTTTTTTGTTGCCAAAAGTGTTTATTCTTGTAGTGATTTATGATCTTTGAAATGGCCAGTTGATGGAAGAATAGTATAGAATTGATAAAATATTAGAATTTTTTTTGGGATTTCATGTCTCCTCTTTCCCAAGAATTATACACACACACACACACATATATATGTATATATAGATGTTCTTATAACAAAAGCTATTCGTAACAATACAAACGAAAACATGTTCAATGTGATTTTAATATTTATAGAAAGGTTACACGCCAATTTGGACCCAACAATTAAAGCATTCAAATTCAATGCCCACTTGATACACAGCGTAGGCAAGCAGTTATAAAGAATAAATAGGTAATGAATACATAATATAATATTAAATCATATAATTAATGAAACTATTTGAAACCAAACAGATTTGTATTTTGAAATATGTTTGCAATTCTAACAGTTCACATAACAAACAATATCACACACAATGAAAGAGAGAGCTTGCCGGTTTGGAGAATTTACTCTATTTTATATCCGGGTATGAAGATTGCCGACTAGCATTACTCTAATTAAACTGAACTCAACACAATCAATTTTAACCCCATTTTATTTGGGAATTGGACACAATTGCCAAACAAAACAAAACAAAACAAAAAAAAAACAATGATATATAAATAGAAAAAGTATATGAAATTTATATATAGAATAATGTGGTTGTATCAGTTTTATCATTTTTGAACAGTGTACCTATTAAGATAACATTTAATTAAAAAATGTCATCATCATAATTTCTTTTAGACAAGTGTCATCATCATCATTATAGTGAAAAATTTTATGTACCTTGACAAAATCTTGGACCACATTGGTAATAAATAGCTCACTCTCTACGGTTTTGTTTACTGAAAAATTCTTTCAGTTCAACATGTAGATGTTCATCCTTAGTTCAATGGATCTTGAAAACAGTTTCTTTGAAAGAATGCATTATTAATGGTGAATGCCATAAGTTTAAGAAAACTAATTTACCTTTCCATCCAAGAAATGGTGTTGAGCTGAGTTAAAAAATTCCTCTTTTTGAACATTGCTCCTCCGTAACTCTTGCAGGCATTGGAATGCTGAAGGGAGTGCCTTCAAGTTGGGACAATTGATTACTTTCACGATCTTCAACAATGTTCCTTCAAACGTGCAAGTTTGAAGGCACAAACTCCTAAGGTTTGGCAGATCACAGAGTTTGAGACTCCTTAGTTGAGGGAATATGCAAATATTTGTTGTGACATCATAACCTACTTTTGGTTCCTTATCAATGATCACTTCCATCACACCACATTCAATTACCTCTATTTCTTGTAGTTTCCCCAGAAGTTTGGCTAGAGAAGCTGAGAATATATATCTCAAACTGCCACAACCTTTAATTATTAGGGATGTTAGGTTTTGTAAACCTTGAATTCCTGGTAAATTGTCTTTCCAAACATGTGTCAACTTTGGTAGATGTCGTAGGTTCACATTTGTTAATGAATGCAATAGTGTATCTGGATGGCCTTCCCTAGTAATTAGTCCTTCAAGGTCAAATAATACTTTCACAGATCGACACCGTTTCACTTCAAGTAGTTCAAGACTTTGCATGCCCTTAATCAAATTAGATGGAAAAAGAATATTCAAAAACCCATGACACAATTGAACTCTGATCTCTCTTAGTTTAGCTTGAAGTTCGTCAGGCCATATCTCAATCAGATTATCCATTGCAGTGACAGACAACTTCTCAAGGGAAGTCAATTTAACCTGTAAAGTCGATTTCACAAGGTTAAAAGCATAATTAAACACGCCAAACTTTATTTCCATTTAATTTTAAATTAATATACTTCAAAGTTAAATAATTACACTTCAATATTTCTTTAAAAAATTTGAACATTCAAATTTAACTATATATTACTTAAAGTTTCTAATTTCAAAGTGTTATAAGAAACAAGATAATAATCATAGGAAATGAGATACGTATAACTGTACAAGTAATAACATTAATGGGTAAATAAGATTTCAACACCTAACATCAAAGAAGTAAATGTGAGACAAACTCTTGTCCAACAAGAGCATGTAATTGAAATTTGGATGTAATTGAGGGATCAATAAAGTAGAGCCTACATTGCTGGTCATTACTATTACTATTATCAATCATCATAGTGAGTTAATTATCGAAGAAGTAAACCATTGGCCAATAAAAGAATAATCTTCTTCTTTTTTTCTTAATGTAAGAACAATCCTATCGTTAAACTTGCTAACTATACCTTTTCTTTTCTTTCTCCACTTTTTCTTCACGAGGAGTGACTTACAACCCTATTTTTTTCTTTTTTTTCTTTTTTTTTTTTCTTTTTTTTTTTTTTCTTTCTGATCAAAAAAAGAGAATTCATTGATGAAGAAAACAATGTATAAGTACATAAGGGAGTACAAGAAACCCTAACCAAAGACCACATCATTGCTAGATAAGATCATTCCAACTAGGTTGGCACCATCTACCTAGCCAATCATGTGCAAAGTCTCAGGAAGAGAGCAGGAGAAGAAAAAAAGAAAAGAAAAGAAAACACCACAGATGGCAAGATGCTATCTGAGGAGCTGAAGAGACAAAGGAAAGTTAAGCATTGATTCTCATATTCTTGACACCATCCAGCGAGAAGATGAAATCATTGATTTGCGTACTCTGTGATATTAGCAAAACTTTTCTCCCAAAAGGAGATTCTGACTTTCACCAGTTCCACAAGCTCATCCCAATGGTTTTCCTTCAGATTCTTGACTTACTACCTTAATCAAAATTAGATGGCAGAAATCATACTAAACTCAAAATGTCTGTCGAGTTTGAGTTCAAATAAAGACTGATCAAGAAAACAAATCAAATATTGACCGTCTGTTTGTTTGTGTGTACAAGTGTATACGTTACGACATGAGAAAAATCAAACAAAAGCAGCACATGGTTGAGTTTTTTGCTGTCTTGTGAGGTTTGAAAGGATTTAAGAATGGCTTAGGCTTTAAGGATTGAAAAGAAACAAGTTAAATTTAGAACAGGGCGTATGAAATCACAAAAAAATAAATAAATAAATAAATAAAAAGGAAAAGGAAAAAAGTGTAGATGAAATTATTAGATGGTAGCCCAAGATGAAATTATTCTATTCCACCAAGTCAAACACTTTCCCAAACATTAAATTTGCAATAAAAAAAAGACATTAAATTTAAAATTTAAAATAGTTGCAAAATTTGTGAAACTTTTTTTTTATATATATTTTAAATATTAAAATCTATGATTTGCAAACAACATTCCAATCTTTGGAAATCAAAAAGAGCAGGACCCCTCCAAAAGAAGGGGACACTAAGGCCCAAAAGGATGCCAAGGTATGAACTCTATCCCACATTGAATCCACGCTCCCAAATCTATCTTCAAAAATCCTTGCGTCCTTTCCATCCAAATAACACAAATTATTGCACCAACCACACCAAGCCACAATGCTTTTGCTCTCCTCCTACCCCCAAATCTCTGAAAGTCAATTAAAAGAACATGAATACTTGCCCTTGGAGCCACCCATGACAGCTCCACCAAACGAAAAAGTCATGGCACAAGTTCAACACCACAAGGCAATGTAAGAATAGATGATTCAAAAACTCCTCATCTTTCTTATACATGACACATCATTGAGGAGAAAGATAGCAATTAGGCCTCTTTTGCAAGGTGTCATTGATCAAAAGGCCTCCACGAGCCAACAACCACATAAAAATTTCACCTTAGGCAGTACAAAAAGGTTTCCAAATGTTTTTGTAAAAGGTGAAGAAAGGCACTCTCGGATTGTCAATGATTTTGTCAAACAAGGATTTATATGTCAAGTCCTCAAAAGAATGAATGGACAAAACCCGTTTATCACCCCTATTTAGAAACAACAAAAGATGATCCAACTGGGACAGCAAAGAACACTCGTGGCCCTTTTTGTAGATATAATTCTACAATAGAACACTCATGGCTCATGTCACAAGTCATGACTCCTATGCAAAGTCGTTCATGCCTGCACAAGCCATGATTCAGCTCGAACACATGTTGCTGCTAGTGAGATCTCACAGTGGCATCACTTGAGGAGAAAGAATGAAGTCCTGGGATACCTGTAAAAAGTGGACAGGCAAGACATGAGGCTGGAGTTTGTAACTGAATATTGATAAATGTATTTAGGCAGAAAAACTGAAGTTCACATATGTGAGATGGTCTCATGAAAACATTCAAAAAGTTGTGATTTATTAGTTTACCATTTTATCCTTAAAAGTTGAATTTAAATTATATAAATTCTAGCATGATTCTCTTTAAATTTCTGGTCTTTTTATGAAATAAAAATTCCTTAGATTTCAAGACACCAATTGATGTCTGCCTTTTTATAGTTAGCTTTTTCTACACTCTTTTGCTAAAAATATAAGGTTTTCACAACCCAGATTGGTTTATACATATATACAGAAGATGGAGTTGGTAATTTCCAAATCAGAGATCATCTAGCTACTACTAGTTATTGCAAAAGAGAAATTTGAAACTTCAAAAAACATTTACCTTAAAACAAAACCTTTAAACACCCAAAATCACCACATTTACCATTCTCAAAGCTTACATTACACAAATTAATAACACCTGATCAGTTGGCATACCACTGCATAACTCATCATGAGTCCCCACATAATAGTGAGCTATAGAAAGAACAACATACAAGAAGGATTCTCATTGCCAGTGGTATAATATAGTAGACTGTTTAGCATACTTGTACATTTCTGATATTATTTTTGAAGTGACATCAGAAAACAAAACCAAAATAAGAATAACTTTTAAATTCTCCCATTATTTGGGAACAAAATATTTGAATATGTCAACACAGACCATGATCTCAAAATAGTAAAAATTGATTTAAGAAAAAAATATATATATTTGTTTGTTTAGGTTGTTTACTCAGTCAGTACCCTTTTCTTTTCCTTATTCTAATTTAATTGAATCATAACCATGTCCTTTACAATTATTCATTGAATCGTAACCATGTCCTTTTCAATTATTCCGACAACATTTTGAATCTCCATCATAAAATTGCATATGCACATGCCAAGTTCAACCCCAAATATATGGGTGTGTGAGAGAGAGAAATTCAAGTGAACAGCCATAGCCGTCTTGCTTATGTTATTTCAAACATTAATTACAACCAAATAGATTTGAGATAAGGATGAAGAACAAAATAAAGTCTTGGTATAAATAGACCGAAGCCATAGAATCTCACATGTACCTTGTGTCATAGTCCAATACTCAGCCTCTGCAGAAGATCTAGAAACAATCACTTGTTTCTTGCTTTTCCATGATATAAGATGATCACCATAGAAAGTTCAGAAACTAGATGTGGAACACCGATCAGTTCTAAATCTTGCAAAGTTAGCATCTGTAAGACAGAAAAGCCCAGATTGAGAACTAGCTGTGAAGAATAGTCCCAATCCAGGAGAAGTCTTCAGATACCGCAAAATGTGGTGAATAGCGTCAAGATGCTCTAATGAGATGCATGCATAAATTGACTCACAACACTAACCACAAATGTCAAATTGGGTCTAATGTTGGTCAAATAAATGAGATGGCCTACAAGACACTAATTCATTCATATGTGAGTCATTTAATTTGAATTTTCATTCGTAAAGGAAACATATTAGTAAGAGGGTTCCCACATAAGAGAGAGTGAATAGAAAAGCTCGACTTTGTTGAGTGGACGAACCTTCTGTGCTGCCCCCAATAAGTAAAGGTCGAAGCTTGCTAGGTTGGGTAGGAATTGGAAGGGAGAGAATTAGGGAAACATAGGAATAGCAAGTCGTGCCCATTATACTCTTGAAAGCCTAATCTACTAAAATTAGAGGATTTTGGGTTTAAGAGTTTTCATTGGTTCAAAATAAATTTAAATCAATATAGCAAAATTTAGTTACTAGCTAATTAGGTGTGCTAAACTTTGTGCTAAATCAAGTGCTCTAAGGTCATACCACAAGGACATAAAGTGCATTTTATCCTAGAATATATATACCTTTTCTTTGAAGAGTTGGCAATCTAAACAGCATCGCTAATAGTCATGGTCATTGTCATTATCATTGGTCATCTCTAACTCCGTTGCCATCCCTATTGCGATTGCGATCCCCATTGCGATAGGCTATCTATGCAATAAACCATCTGTAAAATTATGATACAACAACATAACATGAAAACTCCCTCTTTTTTTTTCTTTTTTTTTAAAGGGTTGATAACCTAATTGTTAAAATTACTAAATTACCCATACAATTTATTTTAATTATTAATCTATCCAAAAATAATTCTATGCATAACTTGGTTTTTACAAAAAAGCAGTTGTTTGTAAAATAATAACCTTAGCCATGCAAACTACAATGTCAATAGTAATCGTCTATTGTTTATCATTGATAAACTACTAAGAACATATACCTGAGATAATGATGAAAAAAAACATCACATTAGTAACAATCATTTCTCCAATAATTGTGTATTCTCATATCTTTAAAAAAAAAATAGGCGTAGACAAATGCTGGTGGCGTGGAACATATCTTAAGGATATAAATATGCTATTAATTCTTAAATACACAGCTCACTATTACAAAAATCAGTTGTTCCTTAAGGATATTGTTTCCTAATGATAGGTAGCTCTTGGAGACACCATGGTTGCTAACGAGGCAGATGTTGTATGTACTACCTTATTTCACCCTTTTGACTGGTTCTAGCCTCATAAAAGGTCTCTGTAATTTGCATTTTGTATTAATTTGATCTCTATAATTCTAATTGTTATCAATTTTACCCCTTCATTCTTCACATTGTGTCAATTCAACCCAATTGACAACATCCGTTAAGAAATTGTAATTTATACATAAATCAATGGCAAAATAATTCATTCAAAAGAAATGGATCATTTCAAATTAGATGTCAACCCCTCAATCACTTTGGAGAACGTGAATGAACTATTTTTTCTCTTGATTTTAGTGAACTTTCTAATAGGGCGTTATCAATTAGCCTAAATTCACACATGAAAAAAAAAATTAAGGGTAAAATTGACCATGAAATAAAAAGACGAATGCAAATTGCCCATAATGCATATATTTTGATAACCCAGGACAGAACCCCATTCAAACTTGGGGTAATAAGATGCACCCCTACTTCATCAGGAAACAAAAAAAAAAAAATTGGAAAAAGGAAGAAAAGATGCACCACTCCTCATTACCAGGTGAAAAGCAAGAGGCTTGACTTTGCCAAGAGTTGAACTAGAAACATAGAGGCTATAACCCTCAAGTCTTACGAACAAAATTATTTTGAAAGTTAACATTATTAGCAATGCTACTAAAGTCGAAAAGGTATGAGCAATTCATTCTAACATAATTTGTGGGCCAATTCATTCACTGTGGCTCATGTGACATAAGTGGGCTTCGGCCAATAAGTCAGCCTAAGATATTTTTCTTTGTATTAATATCATTTTTAGGATTACCTCAATTGTCAATTTACAAACTTATGTGCACCTAATTGTAATTATCCCTATAGTTAACCATGTTCATGAGTAATGTGGCAATTGTCATATAGTCATGGTCTGTAGTCATTTACCATGACTACCATTTTCTTAGTTGTAAGATGTAAAACAGCTAAAAAATTGATCGGTGAAGTTGTCTTCTTGAGTTTGTTGAAAACTTGGAAATCTATAATTGGAGTTTTACCTGGAAATTTGGGAGAAGACGGTAATGGCATTCATCGGCTGGAATTTGAGTATCATTTATGTTAGGGCCGAAACACACAAGACTTGGAAGATCATGAAGTTCGACAAGGCGAAATTGGGGCAAATGGATTTCTTCTTCTTCGTTTTCCCTGGTGACAATCTTTTCTACCTTCTCACAATGTCCAATTATTAGGTCTTTTAGATTCACAAGGACTTTGGCCATGGAAATTTTGTGAATATATATATCTCAAGTTGTCACAATTCTTCACTTTTAGATAACTTAGATTTCTGAAACAATGAGTTTGTTGGGGAAAACACTTCCATATATGCGTCAGCTTGGGCAAATACTTCACTTCCAATTTGCTTAACTGAGTGATTGATGTTCCTTCGTCACCAACAGCAACACATACCTCCTCTTTGAGGTCAAATATCATTTCCAAGGAATCACACCACCATACCTTTAGCTCTTCAACTTCGTGTAATCTTTGTATTAAATTAGACGAAACAATACTTAATAATGTCCTACAGCACTGGACCCACATGACTCTTACTTTGTGAAGGCACCCGACACCAAGTTGATTGTGCCATATCTCAGTTGGCTCATCTATTCCTGTGACAGTAAGTTCCCCCTTGCTGCTTAAACTAAACTGCAATTGCAATCACTTGTGTTAGTAACATATTTACAAATTACTGAATAAAACAAACCGACTTTAAAACCACACCTTAACTAAGACCAATGTGGCAATGAAATAAAATAAAACAAAACTCATATTGTGATATGTTCAACAAAATTCAAAACCATTGGAAATAATAAAAGTTGAAAAATTATGAATCACTGAATAAAACAAACTCGACTTTAAAACCACACGTTTACTTGGACCAATGTGGCAATAAATTAAAACAAAACAAAACTCATATTGTGATATGTTCAACAAAATTCAAAACCATTGGAAATAATAAAAGTTGAAAAATTATGAATCACTGAATAAAACAAACTCGACTTTAAAACCACACGTTTACTTGGACCAATGTGGCAATAAATTAAAACAAAACAAAACTCATATTGTGATATGTTCAACAAAATTCAAAACCATTGGAAATAATAAAAGTTGAAAAATTATGAATCACTGAATAAAACAAACTCGACTTTAAAACCACACGTTTACTTGGACCAATGTGGCAATAAATTAAAACAAAACAAAACTCATATTGTGATATGTTCAACAAAATTCAAAACCATTGGAAATAATAAAAGTTGAAAAATTATGAATCACTGAATAAAACAAACTCGACTTTAAAACCACACGTTTACTTGGACCAATGTGGCAATAAATTAAAACAAAACAAAACTCATATTGTGATATGTTCAACAAAATTCAAAACCATTGGAAATAATAAAAGTTGAAAAATTATGAATCACTGAATAAAACAAACTCGACTTTAAAACCACACGTTTACTTGGACCAATGTGGCAATAAATTAAAACAAAACAAAACTCATATTGTGATATGTTCAACAAAATTCAAAACCATTGGAAATAATAAAAGTTGAAAAATTATGAATCACTGAATAAAACAAACTCAACTTTAAAGCCACACGTTTACTTGGACCAATGTGGCAATAAAATAAAACAAAACAAAACTCATATTGTGATATGTTCAACAAAAATTGAAGCCATTGGAAATAATAAAAGATGAAAAAAGTAAACATACAGAAGATCCATTTACACCATTAACCCCTTGTACAGGTCTCTAGTAAATACTAGAATAATGTAAGAGTACCAACAACGGTTACAATCTCCACCATATAATTGAATTAAATGAATATGTAGTTTGATATTTCATGAAATCTCAGCCAACCTACATGTCCTTAACTAGAAAATCAACAAATTTACTTTGGCATATTTGGTGAAAACCTAATAATATGATGTTGAAATATTTCTTCTACTATTTTTTCTTCAACATTTCTCTTTTTCTTGGTAGTTGTCCATGTTAAAAATAAGGCTTAAAAATAATCAGAAAATAAAACAATTTTGTATAACAATAACGAAAATTATTTATGGAAGTGCAATGCAAATACATAAAATATGATGGTAACAAATATTTATCAACAAAGGCGTGTCAATCACTATTCCAAGGAGTAGGTTCTGCCCCCACAGAGTACGTCACCTGGTTCAACAAGTTAATGACTCTTACCCTCCAAGATTCAACTATTGCTTTCACACAAATGTGCACAAGCAATGTAGAGGCATAAAGAATAGCTCGTTTCATTATCCTAAAAATCAAATAAAATAATATATACATAGGAAAATATTTATGATCTTTGAAATGGCCAGTTGATGAAAGAATAGTATAGAATTGATAAAATATTAGAATTTTTTTTGGGAATTCCTGTCTCCTCTTTCACAAGAATTATACACACACACACACACACACACATATATATATATATAAATATTCTTATAACAAAAGCTATTTGTAACAATACAAACGAAAACATGTTCAATGTGATTTTAATATTTATAGAAAGGTAACACACCAATTTGGGCACAACGGTTAAAGCATTCAAATTCAATGCCCACTTGATGCACAACGTATGCAAGCAGTTATAAAGAATTAATAGGTGATGAATACATAATATAATATTAAATTATATAATTAATGAAACTATTTGAAACCAAACAGATTTGTATTTTGAAATATGTTTGCAATTCTGACAGTTCACATAACAAACAATATCACACACAATGAAAGAGAGAGCTTGCCGGTTTGGAGAATTTACTCTATTTTATATCTGGGTATGAAGATTGCCGACTAGCATTACTCTAATTAAACTGAACGCAACACAATCAATTTTAACCCCGTTTTATTTGGGAATTGGACACAATTGCCAAACAAAAAAAACAATGATATATAAATAGAAAAAGTATATGAAATTTATATATAGAATGATGTGGTTGTATCAGTTTTATCATTTTTGAACAGTGTACCTATTAAGATAACATTTAATTAAAAAATGTCATCATCATAATTTCTTTTAGACTAGTGTCATCATCATCATTATAGTGAAAAATTTTATGTACCTTGACAAAATCTCGGACCACGTTGGTAATAAATAGCTTACTCTCTACGATTTTGTTTACTGAAAAATTCTTTCCGTTCAACATGTAGACATTCATCCTTAGTTCCATGGATCTTGAAAACAGTTTCTTTGAAAGAATAGATTATTAATGGTGAATGCCATAAGTTTAAGAAAACTAATTTACCTTTCTATCCAAGAAATGGTGTTGAGCTGAGTTAAAAAATTCCTCTTTTTGAACATTGCTCCTCCGTAACTCTTGCAGGCATTGGAATGCTGAAGGGAGTGCCTTCAAGTTGGGACAATTGATTACTTTCACGATCTTCAACAATGTTCCTTCAAACGTGCAAGTCTGAAGGCACAAACTCCTAAGGTTTGGCAGATCACAGAGTTTGAGACTCCTTAGTTGAGGGAATATGCAAATATTTGTTGTGACATCATAACCTACTTTTGGTTCCTTATCAATGATCGCTTCCATCACACCACATTCAATTACCTCTATTTCTTGTAGTTTCCCCAGAAGTTTGGCTAGACAAGCTGAGAATATATATCTCAAACTGCCACAACCTTTAATTATTAGGGATGTTAGGTTTTGTAAACCTTGAATTCCTGGTGAATTGTCTTTCCAAACATGTGTCAACTTTGGTAGACGTTGTAGGTTCACATTTGTTAATGAATGCAATAGTATATCTGGATGGCCTTCCCTAGGAATTAGTCCTTCAAGGTCAAATAATACTTTCACAGATCGACACTGTTTCACTTCAAGTAGTTCAAGACTTTGCATGCCCTTAATCAAATTGGATGGAAAAAGAATATTCGAAAACCCATGACACAATTTAACTCTCATCTCTCTTAGTTTAGCTTGAAGTTCGTCAGGCCATATCTCAATCAGACTATCCATTGCAGTGACAGACAACTTCTCAAGGGAAGTCAATTTAACCTGTAAAGTTGATTTCACAAGGTTAAAAGCATAATTAAACACGCCAAACTTTATTTCCATTTAATTTTAAATTAATATACTTCAAAGTTAAATAATTACACTTCAAAATTTCTTTAAAAAATTTGAACATTCAAATTAAACTATACATTACTTGAAGTTTCTAATTTCAAAGTGTTATAAGAAACAAGATAATAATCATAGGAAATGAGATACGTATAACTGTACAAGTAATAACATTAATGGGTAAATAAGATTTCAACACCTAACATCAAAGAAGTAAATGTGAGACAAACTCTTGTCCAACAAGAGCATGTAATTGAAATTTGGATGTAATTGAGGGATCAATAAAGTAGAGCCTATATTGTTGGCCATTACTATTACTATTATCAATCATCATAGTGAGTTAATTATCGAAGAAGTAAACCATTGGCCAATAAAAGAATAATCTTCTTCTTTTTTTCTTGATGTAAGAACAATCCTAATTTTAAACTTGCTAACTATACCTTTTCTTTTCTTTCTCCACTTTTTCTTCACGAGGAGAGACTTACAACCCTATTTTTTTCTTTTTCTTTTTTTTTTTTTTTTTGATCAGCAAAAGAGAATTCATTGATGAAGAAAACAATGTATAATACATAAGGGAGTACAAGAAACCCTAGAAACCCTAACCAAAGACCACATCATTGCTAGATAAGATCATTCCAACTAGGTTGGCACCATCTACCTAGCCAATCGTGTGCAAAGTCTCAGGTAGAGAGCAGGAGAAGAAAAAAAGAAAAGAAAACACCACAGATGGCAAGATACTATCTGAGGAGCTGAAGAGATAAAGGAAAGTTACGCATTGATTCTCTTATTCTTGACACCATCCAGGGAGAAGATGAAATCATTGATTTGAGTAATCTGTCATATTAGCAAAACTTTTCTCCCAAAAGGAGATTCTGACTTTCACCAGTTCCACAAGCTCATCCCAATGGTGTTCCTTCCGATTCTTGACTTACTATTTTGAACAAACTTAGATGGCAGAAATCATACTAAACTCAAAATGCCTGTCGAGTTTGAGTTCAAAGAAAGACTGATCAAGAAAACAAATCAAATATCGACTGTCTGTTTGTTTGTGTGTACATGTGTATATGTTACAACATGAGAAAAATCAAACAAAAGCAGCACATGGTTGCGTTTTTAGCTGTCTTGTGAGGTTTGAAAGGATTTAAGAATGGCTTAGGCTTTAAGGATTGAAACGAAAAAAGTTAATTTTAGAACAGGGCGTATGAAATCACAAAAAAAAAAAAAAAAAAAAAAAAAAAAAAGGAAAAAAGTGTAGATGAAATTATTAGATGGTAGCCCAAGATGAAATTATTCTATTCCACCAAGTCAAACACTTTCCCAAAAATAAAATTTGCAATAAAGAAAGACATTAAATTTAAAATTTAAAATAGTTACAAAATTTTTGAAAAATTATGTGAATTTATTTAATTTAACTGAGCATAATGACAATGCAAAATGGCAGGAAAAAAAATTTCATTTGGCCAATTTCACTTGATTAAGGCACAAGAATTAGTTTGGTTTAATTTGATAAAATAGTTACGAAATTCCAATTATATCCCTTGTAGAGTCAAAATATAAAAGAACTTATAAACCAAACATACGGCATTCATTGTTTTTTAAATTAAAAAATTACGACTTCAAAAATGAGGAACATCTCCCTCTATCTACGAAGCATCAACATGTCCCCAGGGCCTGCGTATGAGTGTCGGACACGTGTTTGACACTCTCTCTAACGTGTCCCTTTTTTTTTGAATTTTTCCAGCCGGACACGCTGTGGACACGCGATGACACTTTCCGGACACACGCAACGTGGATCGAAGAAGCCCTAACCTATTGGAGAGGAGAGAGGGAGAGAAAGAGTCTATGGAGGATCGATTGAAGGAAGAAGCCCTAACCTGTTCAAAAGAGATCAATCGAAGAAGCCCAAGAAGCCCTGAGGTATTTTTCTTCGTCTTCTCTGTTCTTCTTCTTCTCTTCGTCTTCTTTGTCCTTCTTCTTATTTCTTCTTCTTCTTTTCTTTATTTCTATTTCGCCTCCCTTTTCTATTTCGCCTCTTCATCTTCTCTGATTTTTTCTCTTCCTTTTCTGATTTCACCTCTCCCCCTCTTTTGCTTTTTTTTTTTTTTCTTCTATTTCTCTCTCCTTTATTTTCCTAATTTCTCCCCTCCCTTTTTTTTTATTTTTTTATTTTTTCTTTTATCCGTATTTTGTGTTAAACTAAAATTCATAGAACAAATTATTTTTATTTAAAAAACTCAATTTTTATTAAAAAAATTGAGGAAATATATTTATTAATTTTATTATTATTGTAATTGTATAAGAAGCAACAATTTTTTTAAAATTTTAGACATATAACAAAATAAATAAATTATATATATTAAATGTATCCCCAGCGTGTCGTGTCTCCCATTTTTAAAAAATTTATGTGTTCGTGTCATGTCCTGTGTCCGTATCCGTGCATCATAACCCTTTATATATCTAGATGAGAAGAAATCACATTAAAAAAAAAAAGTACTAAATAAATAAATAGATATAAATAGAAAGTTAGCAGTTAACGGACCAAGCTTTATGGCTATTCCCCTTTAAAGTTGAATGATTCTTTAAGGGTTCACGACTATGCTTTATTTTTTTTACCCTTTAAGGTAATTAATAGACAATGATTAATAATTTTAAAATAAAGGATGTGGTAGAGATGTGGATGATGCATTGGGTTAATACTTTTGTACAAGAAAGATTATTTCTTGCTAAAGGCAATGAATGATTATTTCTTCCTTATTATGGGTCTTTCTTATCTTATGTGGTGGTTGTTGGTGTTGGGGTTGCAAGTATGTACTCTTTGACTTTTTTAAATGGTTAATTGTCCCGTTTGAAGTAATTTACTTGATATTGTAAAAATATAATATTTTCCACCACTATATATATATATATATATATATATCTTGCCTACATGGGGTCTTTCTTTAGTTGTTCCTTTCGTCTCTGTTAGGGTCTTCTTGTATTATGTAGTTAGTGGTAGGCTTGTGGGTATGTATTGTTCACCATTCTTAAATGGTTTAATTGTCCAATTTGACATAATTGTCTTGATATTTGTAAAATTCAATATTCCATTATCAATTGACAAAAATAAATAAATAAACAAAATCCTTTGGGGCATGTCAGTGAGAAGGTCAGAGGTTCACGGTTTGAGTCAATGGAGCGATTGTGGCCCTTTCATTGTAATCTTACTAACCTACTAACAACCTATCGTTTTTGCCAAAACAAAAAAAAGAACAGATTTCAAATAACTATGTTAATCAAGTTTCAAATTCATTTATCAAACTCTGAATTCATTCTTAAAATCAAGATATAAAATACTACATCAAGCTAAAAGTTATATTCTGAAAATGAGTGGTGTCAAGTGCATACCGTAAAATAGCAATTTAAAATTCCACCAAGTAGAATTCTAGTAAAACAAAGACCCTTGTAAAAATCTCTATCGCACAACTACATGAACCTCCTTTTGAGGTTATGTTTGGATCATGAATTTAGAAAATGATTTATAGAGGGAAAAGAGAAGAAGAGGGATCCAAATCCAACAATCAAACATAGCCTAAGTGCTTTAATACAATATTAATAATTAAGCATCTTATATATATATATATATATATTGTCTTAACCTCAAATCCCTCCATTTCAAATTCTTCCATCCCAATACAACCCTAATGTTTTAAATAATTTGGTCAAAGTTCACAAAATTACAACCTGAACTTCAACTAAGCTTTTAATCAAAATACTAAGCATATTGACACGATGAACATACTAAACTTTAAGGTGGCCATTTGTTCCAGGATATACTAATTTCAGGTTTAGTTTGATATTCTTGTCTTCCATCTAAACATATTCAATTCAAAATATATTATATTCACACACTACAAGAAAAGGGGATAAAAAACACGAAAGCATTAGCGACGGCGCTTGTCCCGTCGCAAAAAATGGTTTTTTTCGACGGCAACTTAAACCGTCGCAAATGAAGGCTTTAGCGACGGCGTTGTCCCCGTCGGTAATAAAAAATGCGCGGATAGGGGAATAAATGCATCAGTATCAACTAAGCTTTTAATCAAAATACTAAGCATACTAACACGATGAACATACAAAACTTTAAGGTGGCCATTTATTCCAGGATATACTAATTTCAGGTTTAGTATGATATTCTTATCTTCCATCTAAACATATTCAATTCAAAATATATTATATTCACATTTATACATTGATACATCAAATGCAATTATGCAAAAAATCATGGATACACGTTATAACCCAAAAGTTCCACAGAAAATAGGAAAATGAGGTGCTCTTAAATAATCAAAGAAAGCATACCTTGTTGTCAAAGAGCGACTGAATGTAGGCAAAAGCAGAAGCAGAAGTGGAAGAAGGGCAGAGACTATTGAGCTTTGGTATTTCCATGAGATCCAAACACTCCAATTGTGGTAGTTCAATTGCATTCATGGCTTTGCTGAATGCTGTAAAACTTGGCAGTTTGCCAAGAGCCATACTTTTTAGTTTAGGAAACTCGACTTTATCTGTTGTTGCCACTGCTATCTCATGGTCTCCTCCTTCATTCGAAACAATTACTTCCATCATACAACATTCAGATATCTCAATTTTCTCCAGTTGCATAAGATTTTTGGCCATAGAAAGTGAGAACACACTTTCCAGTTTATCACAACTAAACAAATCTACAAATCTCAAGCTGCCAAGCCATTTAAGTGGAGGGGGACCCATCCACAAATGTGTCAGTTCAGGCAAAAAATTTTGTAGCTGGCCTTGACAAATAATCCCTTTGAAATTATTTAGTCCAAAAAGACGCATATTCTCTAACACAGGGAAAGGGAAGGCTCTCTGCAAAACCACCTCATCTGGTTTGTTGATAAGGAATTCCAAACCATCATAGTATGACACTGACAAATTCGTCAAGTGTTCAAAACCATTTTTGTCTAAATCACTGAGAATATCAGTCAAACCCTTAATTGACTCTCTAAAGCCAAAATTTTAGTGCTCTTCAATAGCATCTTAAGGTTACTATCCATAAGATCAGTCACATCCAGTGAACTGAGATTCAACTCATTTGGTAATGGATAATAAGGCCAGGCCGTGGTGGTACTAGATGGGTGAACTGTTATATTGAACTTTTTCACCTTCTCAATGACCCAATCTCTTGGAAAGGATTTAATATTGAATAGATCAATATCCAAAGCCACCAAATTGGACAAGGATGCAAGCTCAGCAATGATTGCATTAGTTCTTTCCATACTTTCTTCTTTTCCAGCATCACCCAATCTTTTAAAGCTGCTCCCGATATACAGCTCTTGTAGCATTGATAAACTTGACAAAACACCTGGGTAAATCCTTTCCACTTTGCAATTCAACAAATCAAGTACCTTCAAGTGAGCAAGATGACCTATTATTTCTTTTGGCAATTCCTTGATACAAGAGTCGGCAAACCTCAAAATCTCCAGATTCTCGAATGCTCCAATTACAGAGGCATCATCATCAATAAGTCGGCAACGAAAAAATGACAAGGTTCGGAGGTTGGTCAAATTTCGGAGTGATGTGGGCAGTGATCCGTACATATCTGACAAAGCTAGCACTCTGAGTTCTTTCATCCCTTGGTACAAACTATCTGGGGTCTCTTGCAGTTTGACCTCCTCCATCCCTCTGTGGAGATCAAATGGGTGAATTGATGGTAATCCAGCATTGCAATCTAGATTTAGAAGCTGGAGTTTTGGAAGTTCTAAACCAGGAAGCCCATGCATACCATTAAGTTTTAATGAGATTACAACGTAATTCTTTAGTCGATCTTTCTCCGGCCAACCTTCCAATGCTTTGCCGCATCTCACCATAAACGAATGCTCCTCCCTAGATGCAATAGATACAGCCACATCGCGTATGATATCATGTATTTTCACACACTCTGTTCTCTCACTATCTATTAACAGATAGCATTTTTTGAGGTAATCAATAACGTCATGTACTATGTCTCTTGCTTCGCCTATTGTATCAGTGCCCTTAAACAATTCAAGCCCAATCCCATATCTAACAAGATCTTCTATTGGAATATCAAAATCTTCTGGATATAAGGAACAAAACAAAAATAATTTTTGGGCTTCCTTACTTTCTAAGTAGTTGTAACTCAACTCTAGGGACTTAAATACCTTTTCATCTACTCCCCTAATGTTTTTGACGATGGACTTTCGTAATTGAGAAAGAGCAGAATCCCATGAAGACTGAACTTTAGCTCTAAGTGCCCTTCCAACTGTAACAATAGCAATCGGTAGGCCTTCACATTCATTCGCAACTTCTATCTGCGTGCAATGAAAATCAGTTGTAGGACTTGGGTCGTTAGAAATTCCAGCTATCTCCTTGAAGAGATTCCATGCTTCTTCTTTAGGTAAGACTTCAACTGTAAATTTCTGTTGAGCTCCCATATCGTCACATACATAATCAAATCTGGAAGTCAGCAAAATTTTGCAGCCTTTGTGATCATCTCCAAATGGAATACCTATGTCATTTAACTCAATACTCTTCCAAACATCATCCAATATCACAAGAATTCTCTTAATGGTCTTTAGTCTTGCACACAGTCGGCGTGATCTTCCAAGTTCAGTCTCCTCCTCAATTTTGAACTGCAATATATCTGCAATTTCACCTTGAATCTTCTTCACCTCAGGACTTTGGGACACTGTACCAATGACAACCTCATTGAACATATTCCCTTCTTTTGCTCTTTTTTCAACTTCTTTCACTATTGTTGTCTTGCCAACACCTCCCATCCCACATATCCCAATCATGTTGATACTATCATCTTCCAGTGCCTTCATGAGTCCTTTCATAATGGATCTTCTAGATTCAAAATGCTTAAAGCCTCTAGTGCCTGTGGATGCCATCCCCACTGGAGGTTCAGGGTAGGACACCCTAGGGAAATTTCCTGCTCCAGAAAGCTTTTCCACAACTTGAGTTTTCTTTGTAGCTTTCCTGCTCAATGAGTAGCGTGACTTCAAATTTGGACACCACCCATTCAGACACCCTTTATTTGCTTTAACTTCATGCTCGATGAATTCCGTGGCCTCTTGGCTGAGCTCATTCACCGCTGTCAACCACCGCTTGACATCTGGTCCAATAGTTTCTCTCTCTGTCTCTGCTGCAACAACTAATTGTTCTACTCCAAATTTTTTATCTTCCAACTTGAGGACTTGGTTTTCGAGATTCTTAATGTTGGTTTCATAGAATATCAAATAACCAAACTGGCGGCTCACTGGAGCAACCAGATATTCTCCAATCTTCACTACTAAGGCAAGAACAATGTTTCCAGCCATTCCTCACCCCACCCGACCTCTCTCTCACGAGTGTTTTAGGGCAGTGCAACCTAAAATGTAAAAATAGAACACAACAAAGGGCTTTTCTACAATAATTGAAATGGAATTGAGGAATCTGAGCTTTGCAAATCAAAATGGTACAATGGGAGTATTACTATTTTGTAGAGGATACATAGATAGGAAAGGAACACTTTGCAAAATCAGAAGGGGATACAAATTGCTTTTCAAGCTAATGGTTGAACAAACACAAAAGGGTTTTTTTTTTTTTTTTTTTGGGCAAAAAGAAGGGTTGAGTTGAATATAGAGAATTATAATAAAATTGGACAAAGAGAGTTTTGTACTAGAATAGAAATAGAAATGAAGAAAGTGAGCTTGGTAAAATGATAACAGAATGCAGAAAATACTAAATTGTTCAACACAAAAGTTATAATAGAGTTGCAGAGGAGGAGACTACAAAGCTTTCTAAAACCAAAAGGGAATACATAGATTTTTTTTATTTTTTATTTTTTTTGGCAAGCAAAGATGAAACAGAGAGAATAATAATAATAATAATAATAATAATTGAAGTGGAAATGAAGAAAGGAAAACCTTTGAAATTTTCCCTTGTCAACTTGAAGAGCAAAGCTTTTAACAAACAGAAAAAAAGCAATAAGGAAATCGAATAGAAGGGTATTCAAAGCGAAACAATTAGGGTTTGAGAAAAGGCATCCCAAGCAGCCTATATTTGTGCGGATTACTGGTTTGACTGGAAAATTGAAGTAGTTGGAGTAGGTAATTGTAAGATCAAAGACAGGTGATATGGTCTAACAGTGCTCTGGATTGTGAAGATCGGTCGCTACAACAACCAGGCTACAAATTCAATTGGTTACCGTATCACAATCTTATCTCTTTACACCTTATCTTCTTATTATATTTTTAAAAAATAATTAAAATTTTCATTAAAATACTAAAACTAATCTTAAATTAAACTATTTTCAAAACCCCTGCAACTATTTTTAAAATTCTCATTGAATTACTTCGATATTATATTACCGAACAAATTACATTTATCCCCTCATCTATTATCGCACATTTACAAATTCATTTTTCTTACGACATTTTTTTTTTTTAATTTATGATCAGGATGTTCGGTTATATATTGCTAAATAATTTAAATAATTCTGGTATAATGTTGCCGAACAAATTAGATTTGTCCAATTATCTATTACCCACGTTTACAGATTCTCTTTCCTCAAAATATCAAGTATTCATAAAAATATAAAATGTACAAATATCCATAAAAACATTCACAAAATTTGTCAACACAAATATCTTTAAATTTGTTAATACAAACATCTATAAAATATATTGAGATGTTATCACAATCTATCTATGTTGATAGTTTCAATAGTTACTATATTGAGGTTGACAAACGTACCACCACAAAAAAAAAAAATAAAAAATAAAAAATAATTGGTGACGTTTTTTAGCAACCAAACAAAAATTTAGTTGCCAAAGATACATAATTGGCAACAGAATATTTGTGGCCACTAAAAAATAAAATTTTGGCGACGAATTTATAATTTTGGTCGCTATTGATTTTGGCGCCTAGTGAATTTCTTGCGCGGGAGCGCGAAAAACTTTTTAGCGACCAAATTAATTTATAGCGACGGAACAGTTAGTCGCCAATTGTATTTGTTTGGCGACAGACATTCCTTGGTCGCTAAAAATCTGAATAATATTTTTGGCAACCAAATTAATTTGGTTGCCAATAAATTATTTGTCTTTACAAATTTTTTATTGCCAAAAATTGTTGACAAGTGAATAAACAATTTGGTACAGACAAATAATTTATAGAAATAATTTGTATTTTTTAAAGACAAATAATACAATTATTAAAGACAAATAATTTCTATAAAGACAATTATATCAATAAACAAAGTTTTTTATTTTTTACCAAATTGTGGGCTGTAGCAGATGGGTAGCGTGGGCTGGCAGTGTGGGTGTTTAGGTGGGGGCTCAAGTGTGGTTTTTATTTTTTAGTTGTATTTTAAAATTTAAATTCGTGAGACTTAGGGATTAGTTGTAAGAACGCAAGTAGCAGTAGGAGGAGAGTGAGTTTTTACTCTTTAAATTTCTCTCAATGCATTTTATTTTCTTGTATCTGTAATATCTTGTTTTTAATGAAATTTTTCTTTGCCGATCAAAAATAAAATAAAAATACATAATTGGCAACAGAATATTTATTGTCTCTAAAAACTAAACTTTTGGCGACAAATTTAAATTTTTGGTCGTTATTGAGTTTGTCGCCAAGTGAAAATTCTACGAGGGAGCACTAAAAAATTTTCGACGACCAAATTAATTTATGCGACAAAAATTTTAGTCGCCAATTGTATGTGTTTGGCGACAGACATTATTTAGTCGTCGAAAATCTAAATGACAACCCAATTAATTTGGTCGCCAATAAATTATTTGCCTTTGCCCTAATTTTTTATTACCAAAAATAGTTGACTGAACATTTTGGGTGAATAAAAAAACAATTGACCATTACTTCACCATCTCATTTTCTCACTCCATTAGAAACGTCCCGACAGAGCAATGCTACAGACCCCCAGTTGGGGCAGACCCCCACCACCCCCACATACACGTAGAGGGTACGAAGAAGATAAAAAAAAAAAATTGGGCCAATCAACACCCAGTGGGGGTGCTGGGGGTCTCCCCCAGTGGGGGTCCCCCCAATTTTCCAGGCACGGCACATGTATATGCTCTTCTTCTTATCTTCTTCTTCTTCTCTCTCTCACTCTCCCTCCTGCTCTCTTGTGTCGCCTTTGCTCTACCATTGTTGCGACCTCTTTCTGTAGTGAGAAACAAAAGCAAAAGCAAAATCAAAAGCCCCATCACTATTTCGAGCCATCGAATCGCCTTCCTCTAAATCTGTAACGCCCCACTTTTTATTACTCAAAATCATTACCAAATTTATTAGCTTAATTCAAGTTCAGAGATAACATGCGTAAATAAACTCTTCAGTCCCATGAATAAGAGTAAATAACAATTCTCTCATCCGAATCCAAATTAAATACAACAAGAGTATACTGAATAAAATACCCGAAAACTTACATCATTAAAGAATCAAAGAAGGGTGTAACCCTTTTTACATATATGGCATTCCGCCAACACAAAAGAGGCTCGGTGGCCAACAAGTAAGAAGATCCACATCTTGTAACACATCCTGCTTAACACCTGAAAAAGATTTAACAACGTGGGATGAACATATAGTCCAGTAGGGATCTCTACATGATTCTCAACAGTAACAGCTTACAGATAGCTATGATCATGAATGTTCAATCTCGTACTAGATTAATAATGTGGCAGTTTATACAAAAGTATACATAAGTATAAGCTTTTCTCAAAACAGTCAATCCATTCAGCGCTATAAGCGATTCATCTTTCATTTCATTTCATTAACCCTTGTTCCCAAACTTTCACAACAATAACAACTTCTTAGGAAACCAATTTCTCTAAGCCCATTATCTTTCTCACATTTTCCATACTTGCAACAGATATTTCCTTTTTCAAAATATACTTTCAAATACCCAATTTTTCCTTCACACTTTCACAAAATCTCACAATGGCATTTTGGTTTGTTTTCAATACATGCATGCCTTTAATAAAAGGGAGATAACAGATCATCAACATGTATAAAATGAACAACTGAGGCAACTAGGCCCTCTAAAACTATAACCATCACAATTAATGATATACTCAGATACACTGAGACAAAACAATAAAAACTCTACTCTACTGGCTATATGCACAGTAAGCCAAGGATACAACTCTCACAACAATATGCCATTTTACCAGGCGCTAGTTGGAAGGGTGTGGTACCTTCTATTCTCAGCGCAGTCAGTTCTCCAGGCACTAGCTGGAAGGTAACGGTACCTCTGATTATAAGCGCAGGGCATAACACCAAGAATCACCATACAACAGAGTATAACCAACAAGTGTAATACGTACACATAAACTATCAAAATACATAAGCAATGTGTTAAAATATATGAACACATAAGTATGTGTGGGGTACATCCTCTATCTCCTCCCACACACTGGAGTACATCCCCTTTCTCCTCCCTAACAATTTATACATATATAATGTACAATAGCACTTCATTACATACAATGTTCAATCAACATAGGTGTAATGCATACACGACAATTCAACACAACCATGTCATCCTCCACCGATGACCAAGGACAAAACCTCTATATGTATGATTTGTGTACATCTATTATAAAGACTCAACTCTCATGAGATCTTAAATCCAACAACAATTTTCCCCAAATGTGCGTATTCAACACTCAAGATACAACAATTCAATTCTCATATTCATTTTCTAAAACTCACATAGAGTTAACACTTCATTTCCCATTTCCAAGATCGATTTCCAGGATTTTCCAATTCCAAAATCCCATTTTCATTTCATAAAACCAATATCGTTCTTCTCATAATTTTCCAAATCAATTATGCAAATTAATTCATAATAGTAAATTAGGGCTTTCTCCCTCTTTCTTAACATTGACCCAAAAGGCTCAACTACCAACAACAAACAACAATATTCTCATTTGAGACCCAAAATATAAATGTATTGGCTCAAATAACAAAATCCCTCTTTTAATTTATCAACTCAAATATAAATTAGGGCTTTTTCTTCTTTCAACAATAATATACTAATTTACACCCCAATTAGTCCAAATCACCATCAATGATAACAAACCCAACAAGGATCCGATTTTCATGCAATACAAAACTACCACATGTCTATCTATAGACGAAGCATTGTAAAAGAATAAGGAAATCCCTACCTCAAATGGAGAACCCAAGGGAAAGAAGAGCCAAACTCGGAAGTACTCCAAACCCAAAGTTTTTCGGATCAAAACGAAGCCCACGCAACCCTCTACCTTTCTTACAAAGAGATTAGGGTAAGAACACCCAAGAACTAGATCAATCCCTAGAGAGAAGGTGA